ACATAGGCATTTACCCTTGGACCCAGCCATCCCACTTGTAGGAATCTATGAGAAATAAGGAAACATCATTCACACGAGGTTTTTCACTGTTGGGTAGCTTTGCTTAAAATACATCATGACTCTCAGCACACACACAACAAAATCAATTAACATATAAATGCAGAAGTTTACTCTAAGATAACACACAAAATGATATGGAGCTAATGTATCCCTCTAGATGACTATGTCATTCAATGATAGAAACAGAAAACATACTTGGGGCTCAAAATACTAGCCAAATACAGTAAACTGAGTTCACAGAGTTGGAGTGATATGAGTTTAGATAACATGTTGCAAGCATATGATCTGAATCTATTTGGTTCCTAAATTTCAGAGAGTGATTCCTGAGTTTAGAAAGTGAACAGCTAATCTGAATACTTATCAGAAGCATTCCAGGCTTCTAGGTTTGTATATTGAGGGTTTGGCTATCAAGGGAATATCTGTGTATATTTTTAAGGGAGATCTAGTGCATTTCTGCAATTCTGTCTGGAGGACTTAGAATGCATTATAGAGTCACAGGAGGCTAGGATGTCCACAGCTCTACCCTGGCCACTAGGATCCAAGGTCGATAAGATGTGGTTCTCGGTCTTGAAGAGAAAGAAAGCAAGGCGGGAACTAACACCAAAGTGTCTATCATGTGTCAGTTCCTTTGCACACATTACCTCTGGCCTATCACAAACCATCTGACACAAAAGCAAAACAATACCATCAGTCACCTGCAATGCTAGAACATTCCAACATACAAGAAAAGTAGATGACTTAACATGGCAACAACAGGACTCAGTCTAAGGAGGTCTTCATTTTAAGCCTCTGGATGCATAAGGGAAGCCAGGGGCCACCAGCATGAGTAAGATGTAACTACAGTAAACCAAAGATGTCTCAATCAGTGTGAGCCACATTCACTCAGAAATTCATTGCAGTGGACCCACTCTTGGTCTCCATAAGAGTCTGCATCCTACACCAAAGGGGAACCCCAAGCAGGCTTGCTCCCTTCATGTTCTTCTAACCCTATCAATTCCATGGAACAAGACTTTGGGAACCTTAGTGTCTACTTTGGGACAAATGAAGATGTCATGAGCAGAGCAGACTAAAGGTCTGTGAGACCACCAAGAGCAGACAGACCCAGGCACACACTGCAGGATGAGAAACTCACATCTTGGTCCTCTTGAGCCGCATCTTTTAATGAGGGTCTGGGAGATTGGAGAGATTACCCAAAGACTCAGAGATCACAGTGGGAGTTCCTGGAACTGGAGATGGTTCAGACTGCTCATTCCCCGTCTCAAAAAGGGAATAAATATCTACCCCGGATTTCAGGAACTCAGAATAAGTTCCTCTTTTCACCATCATCCCCTAAAAAAAAATTTGAGAGGAATTATAAATATTAAACCAACTTAAATACTAATCAAGAAAAGTTATCTAGTTTCTTAAATTATGATTTTTGAAAAAAAAAATGATCCCTGGGTCTAGCATTCTTGTTGAGAAATCTAGCTCAGTCAACTCAGTACAGAACTGAGCATTGCATTCCCTGCCAAACCCTGTCCCTGTGTTAGGTGCTGGGGGATGTGAAAGAAACGTGTGCTCATATGTTAAAAATGGAGGCTGTTGACATGACTACCCTGGGCACTTAGGGAAGCAAGAAGCACAGAGGTTGGTGGCAGGACCAGCACAGTCTTTTTAGACACCATGGGAATTGATAGAAGCCTCATGTGACAATTCCAAGAAAGAAATTTAAACTTAACCCAGAGGTGGGCACCAAGTACATCTGCATATGGGTAAGAGTCACTCATTAAATCTTCACTGACCACTGTCACTGTCATAATATCATGTTCCTGGCTGGGATAATAGGAGGCAGCCCTGGACAGAAAACCCATGAGAGGCATCTCCATGGTCTCTACAACTGCCCCCACACACTCAGCAAGTTCCCAACTGAAAATTCAATATTCCACCTGATCAAGTAAATAAACAAGGAGGTCATGGGACTGGAGTGGCTCTAAAGCCTTGGCAGTCTGTGCCCACAAACCAAAAACTAAGCCAGAATCAATGCACTCAGATCTGAGAAAAAACTTAGAAAGGACCAACCACAAGCAGGCAATCAGGTTTCCCCAAATCAGGCAACTGCTTAAGCTACACTAATCAAATCATTTTCTTTGAACACATGTGACACATCCTTGCAGTTTCCCTCCCTTATAAAGTCATATTAAATAATGTGGAGATGTTTCACTATTTTCTGACCCCATGAAACCAGATTCAGCTGATTTACTCAGTAGCAAATAAAACATCAGGGGAAAAAAAAATCTCAGGATACAAAGCACATGAAATGACAGCAGCTCTGGTTGAGGGAGCCCAGGTGGAGGGAGATGTCCCAGGACCCTCATTGGGACCCCATAACCCTCTCCCCTGAGGGCGTCCACTGGGAGAAATGCAGGAAAGCATCTGGGTACCATCAGATACTGCAGCACTAGAAATTATGCAGGATGTAATGCATCTTGTTCCTCTTGGGAGGCAAAATTCACATACCTCTTTAAGGAAATCACCACTAAACCACATCAGATCTGTAATATGCACAATGAAATGACTGGTGGTACAAAGACAGCAATTTCACTCAATAGTCAAGCACTGACAATTCAATGGGGACAATGGGGCAGCCATCCTCCATCTGCTGTGAAGAGGGGGACCAGGCAAACAGTAAGGATGGTCCCCAAATCATCCAGGAGTGCTCACCAGTGGACAAATAGTTGTTTTGTTAGTACTAAAATTGGGGGTAGTGTTCTCAAAGGAATCAATAAGAGGACCCTAAAACATCTAGGGATAGGCTAAATAGGTTATTCTCCTGCCCACTGATCCTGTGCTCATAACACTGTCAACACTGGGGTTTACACACTAGAATCACCCCCTCTGCACATGAAATCAACTGCCCTCAACCTTGTGAAACCTTAACACTCCCCGCCCCCATTCCTAGAGGAGTGGAGAGGAGTTGATAGATGGAACTTCTTCTGAAGAGGCAGGGGTTCTGTATTGTAATAATATTAGAGCAGAGATTCATTTCAGAAGTCAGGGATCTGACTAAGAGCATGTGGAGCAGTCAGTGGTTAACAACAAAGGTGCTGAGACCCAGAGGTAAGCAAGCCAAGGAGTGAACAATCAAATGACCACCAAGTCTGAAAATGTTTCACTAATCTCCACCTCACCCCCAACCATGCTAGGAGCTGTGCCCCTCTTCTCAAAAAGATATGTTCGAACAAGACACTTGTGAAAATGACCTCATTTGGAAACAGAGTCTTTGCATATGTAATCAAGTTAAGATGAGGTCATACTGAAACAGGGTGACCCTATATCCAATGTGACTGATGTTGTTATGAGAAGAAAAGAGATTTAGACTGACACAGGGGCAACGGCCATGTGACATCAGAGGCAGAGACCTCAGTGCTACAGCTGGAAGCCAAGGAACACCAAGGAAGGCCCGTGAACACCAGAGGCTGGAAGGAAGGATTGTCCCCTAGAGCCTTCAGGAGAGCACGGCCCTGCCAGCACCTGGTTTTGGGATCTGTAGCCTCCAGAACAGGGAGACAATAAACTTCTGCTGTTATAAGTCACTCAGTTTGCAGTACTAGGTTACAGTAGTTCTAGAAACTGATACTCCAGCCTGAGCCCACACTTCTTTCTCCTCAGCTTTACTAAGACTCCTAACTACTCCAGTGACCATCAGGACTCTCTTAAGTCCTACATCAGACCACATCCCTCCTCTGCTCTGGACCATCCACGACTTTCATCCCACTTCTGGTCCCTGCCCACTGCTCGGGGACCAGCTCCCTACACTTCCCCTGCTCACTCTCCTCAGACACGCTGGTCTTCCTGCTGTTCCTCCAACCTGCCAGGTCAGCTCCTTCCTTAGGACCCTCTCTGCCTTAGGCCCCCTCCCCCAGGTGACTGTGTGGCCCCCACCTTCATGTCACTCAGAACCTGTGAGGCACCAGCTTCTCAGGGAGGCCAGGATGTCACCTTCTTTGTCACATCCTCCCCATAAGACCAGGAGCCCCGTGAGGGCAGGGCCTTGTCCTCCTGCCGCACAGGCTCCCACACGTATCGAGCACATAGAGACCTGGGCCAGGAGACCAGCAACTGGAGACACCAGCAGAGAGGGCATCTCTGCCCCAGGTGCTTGGCTACCCAACCTCGCTTCTCCTATTAATGGTAGATGCTCTTGAGGCAAACTGTATAACAATCACCTGGATACCAACAGATCTTAGTATCTCTAATTTTTAAGTAATACACTTTGACTTAAGTCCTAAGAGAACAAAATAAAAAGTTCTAAATAAAATTGTATCATTATGCTTCACAGATTTCATTAGAAAGTGATAATTCACTAACCTTGTACTTTTATATACTTTAGGGTTTATGTGGCTTAGAGTGTGAAAGAAAGTGACTCTTTGCAACCACATGGACTACACAGTCCATGGAATTTTTCAGGCCAGAATACTGGTGTGGGTAGCCTTTCCCTTCTCCAGGAGATCTTCCCAACCCAGGGATCGAACCCAGGTCTCCCACAATCCAGAGAGATTCTTTACTAGCTGAGCCACAAGAGAAGCCCTAGAGTGTAGGCTTAGAGTGTAGTAGTGATATTTCTGGGTTTTCCAGGTGGCACCAGTGGTAAAATGAACTTGCCTGCCAATGAGACAGTGTTCGATAGTAAGAGACTCAGTTTCAATTTCTGGGTCAGGAAGATTCCCTAGAGGACGGCATGGCAACCCCCTCCAGTATTCTTGCCCAGGAAATCCCATGAACAGAAGAGCCTGGCCGGTTACAGGTTTTTGGATTCATCCTCCAAGGCATGAACACCAGCTCTGAGCAGAAGAGGGCATAAAACTCAGGGAGAAGAGGGTGTTTACCATGAATGTGAGGAGAGTGACTTGCGGGGATGTCTGTCCTTCAGCATACATGAGTGCTAGCAATTCCACAGATGTCTAGAAATTACTTACATCTTTCAGTATCAGAATATGACTTGCATCTTCTAGGTACTGCAACTGATGAGTTACTAAGATTGTGATCTTTTCCTTCAAGGCCTGATGAATACACCTACAAATTTAAAAGGTACAGTATGCAAAAGCACGTTAATGGGGGTGCTTCAAACTGGAAACTTATATTTTGAAAAGAATAAGACAAAGACTTCACAGAAGTCAAAGATCTGCAGTTTAAATACTAAATCAATAATAAAAATTAAATAAACATAAATCAATTAATCTGACTAGGCTCTTAAATTTATCAGCAGCAAATTTGAACCTAACTCTGCTTAAAAAAGCAGTCCAGTGAAGGAGGCACCAACAGCTAAGGTTTTTTCTAAAATTCAGCTTAACAATTATTTACATGTTTAATAAAGAAAAACAACTGAGTAATACTGAGATTCCAAAATTCAGCTGAACTAAAATGCTGTATTATTGCTATGTGGGAATGGGAGGAGAGGGATCTATGTCATATAAAAATGTGTACATTCTTAGACAGCTTTCTAAGTGATTATAATTAATGATGTAAATATTAACAACAAAAAAACTAATAGATTCTTGGTAATCTTTGTCACAGTGCTTTTGCTAGACACTTGTTCCCAAAGAATGTTAGATAGAAAATAAATGCCAGCATGGCCTCCATCAGTCTCTACAACATTCCCAATTCCATCCAGGAAGCAAGTCTTCTTTCATTAGGACTGAATACCTCCCAAATATTAAACTAAAAGAATAGAATCCAAGTGGCCCAAATAACAGTGGAAATCACCCAGTGGCTCAGAGAATGTGCCAGTTCTCTATAGTTAAGACCATCCTCACTATTCAAACTTAAATTTTCTTCACAGAAAAGAAAAAAAAAAAAAAGAACTGCTCCTATATTTTAAATGCAGACCCCTGGGAACTCAGCCTCAGTCTAACCTCAAACGGTCCACAACTCCTCTAGGGAAGCAAATGCCCAGGTCCAGGGCCCCGGTGACCACAGGCAGGTTTCCAGGCAGGTACTCTGAGTGCCCCAGCCCTTTGCAGAGAAAATGTCAGGAACCTGGGCCAGAGCTCAGCCTGTGAGTGAGTCAGACAGACAGTCTGGAGGCAGCAGGCTGCAGGTCAGTCCCTCTCACGAGCTTGACAATTTCGGCCAAGAGACTAAACCTCAGATTCTTCATCTCAGAACAATGTCAATGACAATACATCCATACCTTCTGAGAAATCAAACCACCAGCACACTCAGTGAACATCAGACCCTTTCTCCACTCCTCCCTAGCCACAAATGGTCATGTGCTTTGGACTCAGGACAAAAGAGTCCTAAGGGACACACTGAACACTTGGTCTGTGATCAGAAACAAGACCCCAGGACATAGATAAACAAACCATCACTTCATTAAGTCCAAAAGGACTCATTTTTACCCTTTAACATGTGTTAGTTCAGTGTTCATACTAAGTTTCTTGACTAAAACTTTTTTCAGATATAGTACTAAAGCATTTAAATAGAATTGTTTCTCCTTATTTCATAATTACCCACCAGTAGTCTCTGAAGGTGGATGTTAATCAAATCCAGTGGGTTGTTATGTCGAAGATGGACCAACACGAAAGTTTTAAAATGTTTTTCTCTTAACATTCCATCACAGATGAAGTAACATAAATAATTACAATGAAGTGATCAGTTGATGGCTTTGAATTTTTCCGAAATAATGCTTTTATCCAAATCATTAGGAAAATACACTATTTTTCAAGTTTTTAGAGTACAGATTTCCAAGTCATGCCATAAAAAGTATTGAGTCAGCAACCAGTTAACTGTTATTCCTATATAAAGGCTGTGTTAATCTTATAATCCCACATATAATCCTATATAAGGGTGACTTTATTTTTTTAGACTCCAAAATCACTGCAGATGATGATTGCAGCCATGAAATTAAAAGATGCTTACTCCTTGGAAGGAAAGTTATGACCAACCTAGACAGCATATTAAAAAGCAGAGACATTACTTTGTAAACACAGGTCCATCAGGTCAAGCCTATGGTTTTTCCAGTAGTCATGTATGGATGGGAGAGTTGGACTATAAAGAAAGCTGAGTGCTAAAGCATTGATGCCTTTGAACTGTGGTGTTGGAGAAGACTCTTGAGAGTCCCTTGGACTGCAAGGAAATCCAACCAGTCCATCCTAAAGGAGATCAGTCCTGGGTGTTCATTGGAAGGACTGATGTTGAAACTGAAACTCCAATATTTTGGCCACCTGATGTGAAGAGCTGACTCATTTGAAAAGACCCTGATGTTGGGAAAGATTGAAGGCAGGAAGAGAAGGGGACAACAGAGGATGAGATAGTTGGATGGCATCACTGAGTCAATGGACATGAGTTTGGGTAAACTCTGGGAGCTGGTGATGGACAGGGAGGTCTGGTGTGCTGTGGTTCATGGGGTTGAAAAGAGTCGGACACAACTGAGCAACTGAATTGAACTGAACTGAAGGGCTGGTCCCTAACAGTTCAGTTGGTAAAGAATCTGCCTGCAATGTGGGAGACCTTGGTTCAATCCCTGGGTTGGGAAGATCCCCTGAAGAAGGGAAAGGCTACCCACTCCAGTATTCGGGCCTAGAGAACTTCATGCACCCGTATAGTCCATGGGGTCAAAAAGAGTCAGACACGACTGAGCGACTTTCACTTTCACTTTTTACTTTAAGAGAGGATACATCCCATGGTGGACAAGACACAAATGAAACAGACAGAGGCCCCACCTCCATTCATTCAGTCAGCAGGGATTTGTTGAGGAGCCAGGCACTGTGCTAAGTGCTGAGGATACACTGAGGTCAAGACAGAAGACAATACTCTGCACCGTGTACAGGGGAACACACTGAACAAGTATAGATTTTGGACTCTGTGGGAGAAGGCGAGGGTGGGATGTTTAGAGAGAATAGCATCGAAACATGTATATTATCTAGAGTGAAACAGATCACCAGCCCAAGCTGGATGCATGAGACAAGTGCTCGGGCCTGGTGCACTGGGAAGATCCAGAGGAATCGGGTGGAGAGGGAGGTGGGAGGAGGGATCAGGATGGGGAATACATGTAAATCCATGGCTGATTCATGTCAGTGTGTGACAAAAACCATTACAATATTGTAAAGTAATTAGCCTCCAACTAATAAAAATAAAAATTAAAAAAAAAAGAAAATGCACTATTGGGCTGGGATGTGTGCTCTAAAGAAAAAGCAAGGGGGGCTGCTGTCTTAGATGGGGAGACACGGGAGCCCTGAGACTCTCTGGGGAAACATCCTGGCAAAAGACACAGCAGGTGCAGGGGTCCTGGAACTAAACACGCTGGGCTGAGGCCCCTTCCTGCATTCATGGCTTGGGGGCAGGTGGGGAGACTTGTAAATGGTCAAGGGCACCCACCTAGGGCTGTGGGAAGACAGAGGGCATGGGCGCCCCCTGGAGGAGCGGGAGGGAACAGCAGGTCCCACCTTCTGTGTCCTGTGGACTGCTCCCTGGCTCTGGGACAGAGGGACCAGTATATACAGACAGACGGGGGTGAAAAAGGACCCCCACAGAGCCCGCACAGCTGGATATCGAGTGGGTGTGGAGCTGGAAAGGCTGATGGGGACAGACGGCAAAAAAGCCTGTTGTCTGTCCGAGGACCTGGAGCTGCTTCCTGAATGTGAAGAGGGGTCTGTGAAGGGCTGGAGCAGGAGGGTGAGCTGTGTAGACAGCAGTGTGGGAATCTGGTCAGGACAGAACTAAAGACTTGATAATGCAGGAGGTGGGGGTCTGGGATGTGAGGCTGAACCAGGACAGGATCCACAGCTGGACACAGGTGAGACAGCATCAGCTCACCTAAGGCCCCTCACCTTCTGTAGGTGACAGAACCCATTTAGTGTTCATGGCATAAACTGCAAAACTCACAAACCTTAGTGACCTTCCTTCATGACTGAAGGAATCTGTTAATCGTAAGTAAAAGTGTGATTCATTCACTCTTAATACAAAACCCTTCACATGACTAAACTTCCACATGATCACCATCTCTCAGAGCATATTATTCCATCCAATTCTCTAACTTGAGAACACCCTCCAGTTGCTGCTGAGTGATTTCCTAGTTTGCTTCCATGCTCTCTGCTTTAAGTCACCCTAGAGAATGCAGTTCTGATTAGCAAGCAACAGTCTGAAGTTTCCTTCTATCAAGTATATATATATCCAAAGTGGTGCATCCAAAATATTTGAGAGGATTTTATAAATATCTCCTGTATTTGAAAACTCAGGAGAACTTTTGTGATCAGCACACTATACTTGACACCAATTGCCTCCCTCTCCCCTCTGTGTGACATGGATGAAATGACCAATAGAATCTGTTCCTGGCCTGATGGAGAACTTGTGCAGATGCACACAAGACGGAGCAACAGATATTTGTGAGTTCAGGGCAGGATGCTGGGAACAGGGAGGCTGAGATACTCATGATGCCAGGAGGGTAGGGAATCCCTGCACAGCATGAGCTCCTGTCACTGAACTCATGACAAGACACAAGGCACTTCTCTAAGGGGAAACTCATCAACTCATGATGAGGAGAGTGGGGCAAAGGGGGGTCAGATCGGAGAGCTGCAGGCAATGGCACATGTCAGCTGTCCTGTTCTCTTGTTCTCAAAGATTTAGTGCCACTATGCAGTTTTTTTTTTAATTGTGGTAAAATATACTGAATATGAAATTTACCACTTCTGCCATTTGAAGCATACAGCCCAGTGGCATTAAGTACATTCACATAGTTGTTCAGCCATCACCACCATCCATCTCCATAACTCTTTCATCACCCCAAAACTGAGCACATTTTACATACGGGCAGGTTCCACCAAGGACTAATGACCCCTGCTTAGTGGATGTGGAATCCCAGCTCCTCGTATCCAGAGCTCAGAGCTCCTCACACGTCTACCTCTCAAACACTGGACTCTGCTGAAGTCTCTTTACTTTGCTATTCTGGACCTGCTGTAAATCAGTCATGTTCATTTGACACTTTAACCATCAATACCTTAGAATTTGGTGACAGGGACTTTAAAGAGGTAACCATTACCCTTAATTATACTGGACCTAATCTAATCTGACTGGAGTGCTTAGATGAAGCGGAGACTAAGACATAAAGACAGAGACACAGGCATGTAAATCAATGAAGTTAGAACACACCCCCCACCATGCACAAAAATAAACTCAAAATGGCTTAAAGACTTAATCATAAGACATGACACCATAAAACTCTTAGAAGAGATTAGAAGCAATACATTCTCTGACATAAATTATACCAATGTTTACTTAGATCAGTCTCCTAAGGCAATAAAAATATAAGCATAAACAGGGGCTTCTCTGGTGGCGCACTGGTGAAGAATCTGTGTGACAATGCAGAAGATGTGGATTCGATCCCTGGTCCAGGAGGGTCCTACATGCCACAGAACAACTAAGTCCATGGACCACAACTACTGGGCCTGTGCTCTGAAGCCCAGAAGTCATAACTACTGAGCCCACACACCCTACAGCCAATGCTCTGCAACAAGAAAAGCCACCTCAGTGAGAAGCCACTGCAACTAGAGAGTAGCACCTGCTCATCACAGCTAGAGAGAAACCCCCACAGCAACAAACAGCCAACACAGCCATAAATAAACAAAATATTTTTTAAATTAAAAAAAATGGAATTTAATCAGACTTAGAAACTTTTGCACAGCAAAGGAAACCATAAACACAATGAAGAGATAACCTAAAGAATGGGAGAAAATATTTGCAAATGATGTGAACAAGGGCTTAATTTCCAAAATATACAAACAACTCATACAACCCAACAACAACAACAAAAAATGGGCAGAAGAACTAAATAGACATTTCTCCAAAGGATACACACAGATGGCCAACAGACACATGAAAAGAAGCTCAACATTGTGAATTATTAGAGAAATGAAAATGAAAACTACAAGGAGCTTTCACTTCACACCAGTCAGAATGGTCATCATTAAAATAACAATGGCTGAGAGATTGTGGAATAAAGGGAACCCTCCTACATTGCTGGTGGGCATATAAATTGTTGCAGGCACTAAAGAAAACAGTATGGCAGTTCCTCAGAAAACCGAAAATAGAATTACTTTATAATCCAGTAATCCCACTTCTGGTATATAAATGGAGGAAACTATAAATCAAAAAGACACATTCCCCCATCTATTCATAGCAGCATTATTCACAATAGCTGAAACATGGAAACAACCTAAATGTCCGTCGACAAATGAATGGATAAAGAAAATCTAGACAAGGCAATACTACTCAGTCATAAAAGAAGAAAGAAAGAATTCCGTTTGCAGAAATGTGGATGGACCTTGAGTTTATCATACTAAGTGAAGTAAGTCAGAAAGAGAAAGACAAATATCATGTATTACTTATATGTGGAATCTAAAATATGGCAAAAATGAACCTATCTACAAAACAGAAACAGACTCACAGACATAGTGAACAGACTTGTGATTGCATGGGTGTAGAGGGTGAGGGGAAGCATGGACTGGGAATTTGAGATTATCAGATGCAAATTATTATATGTAGAATGGATAAACAACAAGTTCCTATAGTATAGTGCTCTGAACTATATTCAATATACTGAGATAAACCATAATGAGACAGAATATTAAAAACAATGTATATATGTGTATAACTGAGTCACTTTGCTATATAAAGAAATTAACACAATATTGTAAATTATATTTCAATAAACACTTTTTATAAAAAAAGGACAGAGACACAGGGGTGCTCGAGGACAGAGGGAAGACCATGTGAGGACACAGCGAGGTGGATGCCACCAGTAGACAAGGAGAGCGTTCTCAGGAGAAACTAAACCTGCCCATACCTTGAACTTCCAGCCTTGAGAACTGTGAGAGAATTAATTTCTATTCTTTAAGTACCCCCATCTGTGATAATTTGCTATAGACTGTTTTTGTCCTCAAAATTCATGCATTAAAACCTAATCCCCACTACATTGGTAATAGGAGGTGGGGGCCATGGGGAGGTGACAGGTCATGAGGGTGGGGCCTCCATGAAAGGGATTAGTGTCCTGATAAAAGGGACCACACAGTCCCCTCATCCCTCCTCCACATGAGGACACAGGAATCAGGCCCTCACCAGACACTGAATCATTCAACACCCTGACTTGGACTTTCCCAGCCTCTAGAACTGAGACAGATAAATTTCCGTTAGACTTAGTTGCTTAGGGTCTGGTCTGCTGTGAGAGCAGCCTGGATGGACACAGCCCCAGCAAACTAACACAGGACCTCACAGAGAGAATTTCCAAACAGTTTCTCTCTGCTGAACACCCTGACTCCTCCAGGTGAGGATGTGCCTGCTGTTCTCCTCACAGCTCTGCTTCCTCCTCCCCCGACACCTGAGCTTCTCCTCTTCCTTCAGCAAAATAATTGGGTCCTATTCTCAGCCTCCACACACCTGCCCAGCCTGCAGGCCCCCGTGGCACTGCCCACCCAGCCCCGGGCACAGGGAGCTTTCCTACTTCAGTGAAAGCTTCCAGCTGCCACTTCCACTTCCACTTAGTATTTCCTACCCTGTATTGAAACTCTCTAAACCTTGACTTTGCTGACCTACCCCCAGGCATCTGTCTTAACCAGCTCCACGTAGAGACAGGTTCCTCAGAGGCAGAAATGAGAGCTGGGTGTCTTAGTTTCCCTTATTCTGCCCAGTGTAGGTCCTTCCCCTACCCCAACTCATCGTCCTCCTTGTAAACCAAGAGGTTTTCTTTAGGGACACCTGTAAGGGCATCTAACTCAGTGCATGCAGCAGGGTGTTAATAAGGGCAGGTGGAAGGGCTTGTTGGGTTTAGCAAGGTGAATGACAGCAAGGGAACTACCCGTGGGGTAGACAAGGATGCTGCTTCAGAAAAAGTGAGTTCACAAGGCTTTCAAGCAAGCCAGTCTAGACTCCAGCAGAGGCCTCGGCCAGCCTGTATTAGGACAAAGAAGCATCAGAGCTGCTCTCCTTCAGAAGTTCTGTGGCCAAGAGTCACTGACAACAAATTCCAGAAACACAAAGTGAGAGTCAGGACTTCAGAAAGATTCTAGATATGGAGTTTTAAATTCAAGTTAACCCTACATGTGGGTCTAAGTATTAATTCTAGTAAGGATCCATGAAGCAATGTTAAATAACTGAGTCATACTCAGATGTGAAATAAATCATTCATAAATTGTAGACTTTACTAAGTATTTCCAAACCAACAGAATAATAAGCATAAACCAACAGAGTTTTTCCATAGAAGCCCTATGTCAGTACTGAAAATTCACTTCTAATGTACCTTCAACAAAAGACAAAGGAAAATAACTGGCAGCCAGTTACCAGGTTACCAAGTCCCACTCTCTGATTTTAAAACTTTACATCTTCTTTACTATCACTGGGGTCTGGATCCATCAACTGCAAGTCTCAGAGGAAACCTTCCATGTATCTCTCACTTCCTAAAGCACAGACTCCACTGGCCTCCACACACTGGAAACACCTTCTGTATTTTCCTATCTTGACCTCAGCATGATGTAAATTTCTCTAGGATAGATCTTCTGTGAGGGGAAGGGAGGGGAGGGAGGGACACTATGGAAGAGCGAGCTGAGTCTTCTGAAGCACAAAGGCTTTCCTGAGCTCTCTTCCCTGATCTCTACAGGATTCTTAGAAAGCAGAGATGACATAAAGCAGGAGCAGACTTACTGTTCAAACAAGTGCCTGCTGACTCCTACGTCCACTGCGCTGAGTGGATCGTCCAGGAGGTAGATGTCTGCATCCTGATACATGGCTCTAGAAAACAGAGAGAGATGTCAGCAGATGACACTTCACACTCCCTGGGTCTTATCTCTGAATCATGACAGCATTCAACAACTCCAGGTTCATTCCAGGAGCCCAGGGAAACAGCCAAGACCCTGCTTCACACAGGCCCACCCAGTGGTCTGTGTGCTCATGTCCACTAGGAGCCGCGGAGGAGGAGGGGCAGGATGACAACTGAAACCCCATATACCTGACGAGGCTGATCCGGGCTTTCTGTTCCTCACTTGATGGGGTTCCCCCATCTCCTGTCACAGTTAGATCTCTATCCTCCAGAAGTTGTAAATCCTGTATGGAGACAGAAAAGAGGAAAAAGAAACATGGATGGACCTGGAAAGTGTTCTCCTCCTGCCATCCTAACCATCTTGTCGTTATTGTTCAGTCACTAAGTTTCATCTGACTCTACCATCAAACCATCTAGCATCAGTTCTTTATATAAGCATTTGATCAACAACAATGGTCTTATTTCACAGTGACTAAGTCGTAACTTTGAACATTAACAAAAAAACCTCTCAGGGCTTTTCATCTGTTTTAATTCTGTAGCTTTTCACAGCATTTATCCATTTGACCATTTTAAAAGATATTTATTTAGTGTCAACCATACACCAGGTACTGTTCTGGGCACAGTGAATTCAGCCATGAGGAAACAGTCCCAGTGTTCCTTTTCATGGCAGGAGATGATGATATGGAAAATTAATCTGAGTGTAACGACTGAGGACATGAAGAAAAAGGAACCCGGGTCAGGGGAATGGAGAGTGAAGGAGGGAAGTGAATCCACACTGGGGTGTGAGGGCTCTGCTCAGAGGGGGGATGAGCAGATCTCGGCGGGGGGTGGGCTCAGGCAGACCTGGAGAGGTTGCTCCTCACAGAGGGAGGGGCAGGTGCAGGAGTCACGGGGAGATGCCCAAGGGGTTCAGGACAAGGAGGCAGGAAAGCAGAGCCCAGTAAGAATGAGGGGAGTGAGGGCGGAGACAGAGCAGGAGGAGCCTGGGGTCACTCTAGTAACAGGGGGAACAGGAGGACTGAAATGGTTTGAGGTCTTTAAAGAATCACTCCTGTGCTTTGTAAAACACAGACAGTTAAGTGGGGAAGGGTGAGGGTGGCTGGAAATGGAGAGATTGGGTCACACTCCAGACACATTTGGAAAGTGGTATCTGGAAGACCTGCTGGCGGGATGGGTGTGGGCTGTAAGAGAAGGGGAGACTGTGGTGTCTGGGGTGAGAAAGGGGAAGGACAAAGTCTCCATTTACTTAGTTGGGGAAGACAGCGGAGGCAGGTTTGGAGACTTCGTTGTGGACAAGCTAATATGACCTCTCAGTGATGTCATGGTGCAGCTGGACATGCAGGTGTGAAGGTCTGTGCTAGAGACACAGTTGTGAGAGCTAGTGGCCCAGGAGGTGAAGGCACAGGACTTGTTTTATCTTGAATTATCAATTTTGCTGATCTTGATCTCACTCTCCCATTCTTAAAGAAGGGATAACACCTGACGCATATCTTCACAGTGATTCTTAAGGCAAGTCATAGATTGACAGACAAGATCTGTACAAGAAATAATTAGCCTCCAACTAATAAAAATAAATGAAAAAAAAAGGAAGAAGAAATGGGAACAGAAAGATCAGGCTAGGGAGAAAATTAAAGGGAAAGAAACACTGTACTTCAGGGACACTGAGCAGATCAGTGGACTGAGTAGATTCTTGCCCATGGAAGCAGGAAAAACTCAAAGTTAAGAAAGATATGAAGTTTTGACTAGAGGATCATATTTGAACTTCTGGTTGAAATATCATGTTATATTTGAATATTATTTAAGAAGTAAATAGACAAATCAGTTTATTTTCTCTGGGTAAATATAAAAAAAATGATGATAAGAACATCCCCAAAATTATAAGATAGAATCAGGTTTAAGTTACACAGTTACTATATTACAAATCTTTACTTCGATTGCTTGTAATTATCACTGGACAGATGCTTCCATAGACAAGCAGAGTTTGCAGGGAGTTTGTTTTCTACTAAACCCCTCAGACATCAACCTAAGACACACACCAGTACCTTTCTGCAGATGATGCCCTCATTTCTTTGTCTCTAATTTAGCAAATTAGGAGAGAAAGCAGGTGGCACACTGGTATCTGCATGATAAACTAGTCCTTTGATCTTCCTAAGTCTCACTTTTCTCTTCTACAGAATGTGCTACAGAAACAAGAGTCACTAAACTCAAGGATGCTCTGAGAACCTAAGTATGAACATCCTCCATAAATGGAAAAATGGACATGGATTGATTTTAACTTGTTATTGGTGACTGATGCTTATTTTCCCATCAAACCAACAGTGGGACCTCATTCACAATGTGGGTTACAACATGAAAATCACATGACCATAAACAGAATAAAGAAAATGTCTCCATCATAAGGCTCTGTGACAGCCACAAAGACACATACACACACACAGGTTCCCTGCTTACTCAAAGCTTAACTGGGGTACATCCAATGAAAGGCAGCAACTGGTCTGTCATGGAAAGTCATCATAATTTAACCTTCTTTCTTTGTTGAGTTTAGAAGTTATTACCATCCCTTGCTTTGGTTTTCATGAGCAACAATGAGCCATTTTAAGACAGGATCTCAGCCCTACACACATACACACACACACACACACACACAGTTACTTGCTTCTGTTTCACTGTTGAAGTCCTTGCAAACTGTTCCACTTAGCTTTTATGCTTTATGTTGTTTTGCTTTGTTTCTCAAAATAGGACCACATCATAGCACAGCAATTTAACCATGTTCTAGAAAAAGCACCAAAATTCACTCTCATTGAGCACAGTTAGGGTATAAGAAACAGGCTCTCTCCAAGTCTGGTAGCAGGACTGCGAGTGTGCTGTTGACTCTGACAATTATTTACAGAGAAGGCACAGATGGGAAAAGCATTTCAGACGATATGAAATAAAATCCAAGTCAGGCTAATTTCCCAGCCATCATTTCCTGATTAGGTTAAAGGGAAAAGCCTGACTTGAGTATAGACTTCAATTCCTCCCACTGACAGGAAGGTGTTCTTATTCACGTTATTTTCCTTTAAGTTAAATTTCACCAATTTTCACTGAACAGCAGACACACACACTAGAGGCAAACTAGGAAATGGTGATGCTGGTTTGATGCCATCTGTCCAGAAGCACGTCAAGGGCCCTTCAGGGATGGTGGAGACTCACAGTAGAGACACCAGAGCATACTGCTGAAGTGGTTAACGAGGGCCAGACGTGAGGCCCTGGCAGAGGAGGGCTGGACTTGAGAATCAAGCAGCAGGAGCCCTGCTTCCTTCACAGCTTTTCTTCCATGTGGAATCGCACCTCCTCTCACGGCCTGTCAATATCCTGCTCACCTTCCCAGGCCCAGCCCAAATACACTCTTCCATGAAACCATCCTGTACTCATCTCTCTTCCTGCTGAGTTCCTAAGGCTTTGTTTTTATCTCTTATGAAGAACAAGTCTTATTCTACTCCATTATTTGAACACATGCACACAGCTTCTCTCAGCTTCTGGTGGGTAAGATCTGTGCACCAAGCTCTATGCTGGACCCTGACGCTGATTATCTCTAATCCTCACAACAAGCTCACAGGAAGCACTGGCCCCATTTCACAGATGAGGAAACTGAGACTCAATGAGGTCACATCACTGGTCTGAGGATGGTCAGCTGTTAAACAGAAGAGCAGGAACCTGAACCAGCTCATGTCAGTTCATAGCCTTTCACTATTTCACATCAGGCTTCCCAGGCAGTGACTGAAGAGCATATTTAAAATGAAGACACTAAAGTAACTTAAGGCTTGAAGGCCTCTACACCTAGAGATGGAAGTATCAATAAACTTATTATCCTATGATTGTCAAGGCAATCTGAAAAGAAAATGTCCAAGTTGGCAGGAATGTGTAAATATAAGATGAAAGTACAAGCTTATAGGCATCCAAGAAGGGTTTTTGTAAGGTCAAGCAACCTATGCGGGAAAATATCAAACTACAATTTATCAACATGATACCTTTAACTATGCAATGTCTAAAAGTTTTTTAAAGACTTAAAAGCTTTTTATAAAAACTTGTTTTTTTTTAAAAAAAGTAAAAGCTTTTAAAAGATAATATACAGACAAATATATATTATATTACATACTATATTGCTTATGGTAACAGAATATGTTTATTGTTGATTTATGTGGCATCCATTCCATCACTTCATGGCAAATAGATGGGGAAACAATGAAACTGTGACAGACTTTATTTTGTTGGGCTCCAAAATTACTGCAGATGGTGACTGCAGCCAAAAATTTAAAAGACACTTGCCCCAAAAAAAGAAAAAAAGACACTTGCTCCTTGGAAGAAAAGCTATGACAAACCTAGACAGCATATTAAAAAGCAGAGACATCACTTTGTCAACAAAGGTCCGTATAGTCAAAGTTATGGACCAGTAGTCACATACGGATGTGAGAGATGGACCATAAACAAGCACCAAAGAATTGATGCTTTGAACTGTGGTGTTGGAGAAGACTCTTGACAGTCCCTTGGACAGCAAGGAGATCAAACCAGTCAGTCCTAAAGGAAATCAACTCTTTCCAATATTCATTGGGAGGACCAATGCTCAAGTTGAAGCTCCAATACTTTGGTCACCTGATGCAACTCACTGGAAAAGACCCTGATGCTGGGAAAAACTGAAGGCAGGAGGAGAAGGGGGCAACAGAGGATGAGATGGTTGGATGGCATCACTGACTCAATGGACATGAGTTTGAGCAAACTCCAGAATATGGTGAAGGACAAGGAAACGTGGCAAGCTGCTATCCTTAGAGTTGCAAAGAGTTGGACAGGATTCAGTGACTGAACGTGAACAAAATGTTTACAGATGAACTAATCTGAGGTCTAGGATGTGCTTCAGAATACTAGGGAGGGCAGAGGTGCTGGCAGAGAGCAGGGGTAAAGATCCAGTAAGACTGGCCACCAGCTGATACTGTTTAGAGCTGTGGGTGGGTACATGAGGGTTCATTACACTGTGTTCTCTATTTTTACAAAATTTTATAACTTTTCATTAAAAAAAAAAAGAACCTAAAAGTGAATAAAATTTCACCAAATGAAACGAAGGCATTCTGTGATCATCATTTTCACATCAAGATTAAAACAGCAGTGTATATGATTGCATATTCACCCAGGAGATCAGCTTAAAGCAATAATCAAAGACCTTTCAAAAGAAAAAAAAAAAGTTTCAAAAAACCTTATAGCTTAAACCAACACTATCTTCATTTGAAATTTGAGTACACGCAACTCAGAAGTCATTACTCACCTTTTCCAAAGCACAAGCCCTTATTACTTCTTCATATCGTTCCTTTTCATATTTCTTCCCAAATAAAATGTTACTCCTCACAGTTCCTGAGAATACCCAGGGCTGCTGAGACACATACGCAATCCTCCCATGCACGCTGATCTTCCCCTGGCTCGGGGGCAGCTCCCCCAGCAGAGCGCTTAACAGCGATGACTGCAACAGATGGCAACACACACGCATGAACAGGCAGCACTCAGGATGGAACACACCCCGCAGCACAGCCAACCCCACCCTGGTGCTTGATCAATGATATCAGAACAGGATAAAGTACAGCTCTGGATATTGCAGGAAAAAAATGGAAAAGAGTACTATTGATCAACATAAACTAAAGATTGATAAGGAATATTAATACTGTAACAATCTACTCTGCCTGAGTCTCCCCCAAAGGAAGTGCTCTACTCAGCAAAGACTAAGAATGTTTAACATCCTTCACTAGCAGAGCAGACCAGCAGGAAGTATATTTTCTGTATCTGATGTTTAATGCAGTTGTTCCTGCATCTGGGCATCTGTTACTTGACAAATATTTTTTCTTAAAAAGCCATGTGGGGACTTCCCTGGTGGTCCAGTGGTTAAGAATCCACCTTCCAGGATGGGGGAAGGGATAGTTAGAGAGTTTAAAATTGACATGTACACACTGCTATATTTTAAATGCATAACTAAAAAATAAATAAATAAAATAAAATGCATAACTAACAAGTACCTACTCTACAGCACATGGAACTCTGCTCAATGTTATGTGACAGCCTGGATTGGAGGGGAGTTTAGAGGAGAATGGTACATGTGTATATATGACTGACATATTCCCTTCACTGTTCACCTGAAACTATCACAACACTGTTAACTGGCTATGCCCCAACACAAAATAAGAAGTTAAAAAAATAATTATATCCAGATAATGAACACAGAAAAAAAGAATCTGCCTTCCAGTGCCAGGGGCTCTGCTTAGATCCCTGGTGAGGGAACTAAGATCTCACATGCTCAAGGGCAACTAAGCCCACATGCCACAATTTGAGTTGCTATGCACTGCAACCAAGACCCAATGCAACCAAATAAATATTTTTTAAAAATTTGTAAAAGCTATGTGTGAACAATATATATGATTATTAATTAAAAGAACTCTTAAAACTTGTTGTATTCAAAGAGCGGAAGTCCATTCTGCACAGAGAGCTCAACCTGGTGCTCTGTGACAACCTGGAGGGGTACGATGGGGTGGGAAGTGGGAGGGAGGTTCAAGAGGGAGGGGGCATATGTATACATATGGCTGATTCATGTTGATGGAGGAAAGAAGCTAACACAATATTGTAAAGTGATTATCCCCCAATTAAAAAAATTTTAATTAAAAAAAATATTTTTTAAGTCTATCATGGAGAAAATCATCACCCTTTCATGTACACATCCCACATTTAAATTTCGGTATTTTGTTGTACAAAACACAGGAGACCAAGTGCATGTACACATGTCCTTCAAAACTTTTGTAACGCACAGAAATGACAAGCCTATGTCCACACCATCAGAGTGCTCACCACCCTGGGCTGAAATAATCTGCTTGCATATCTGTCTCACCCCAGAACCTGGTTGCCTCTGGAGAGCAGAGGCATTGGAGTATTGCTCACATCTGTATCTTTATCTCCAGCACGTGGTTGCACATTCACTACATGTGCACTGACAGGACCAAGTCAAGTCCCATGAGGAAATGTTCAGAGCTTCCTGGAAGAGCCTTCACAACCTCCAGACTTCCTGGAGGGGCCACTGTGACAAAAAGAAGTCCCCACTGTCTCCATCCATCCTGAAGAGCTGTCACATTAATAATTTCACTGAGATGTCCAAGTTCCCCACAAGCAGTTCCCCACTGTGCAATGTGAAGCACCAAGAAGGAAAACACAGTGTGTGTTTATCCAGATTATGTGGCCACAGAAACTTCTTGCAAAACTAATGTTCCACAGAACACACCTAGACACACCCAATTCAAACTGAATTACACACAGCTCTGGGCTCCACTCTGAGAATTTATCAGGGGCTGCCACAAAGCATCAAGCTGACAAAAGGCATCAGAACTTACCTTTCCTGCTCCCACAGGTCCGACCACAGCTAACAGTTCACCAGGTCTGACAGTAAAGGAAAGGCCTTGTAGGGCTGGTGTTCCTGATTCCTGCAAATTAAAGTTTATAAATTGTACCCATTTCAATAAAGTAACAACACATTACTTCAGAAAGTAGAGAAAATAATATAATAGTCATTGATATGCTAACATAACCCACATTTTTCTGCATCTTATTTTAAGGCACTGTGTCCTGGAGGCATTTTCATCTAATCCTATCTTTTTTTAAAAAAATTTATTTATTAATTGATTTTGCTTCACAATAGTGTATTGGTTTTGCCAAAGATTGACTTGAATCTACCATGGGTGTACATGTGTTCCCCATCCTGAACCCCCCTTCCCCTCCCACCTCCCTCCCCATTCCATCCCTCTGGGTCATCCCATGCACAAGCCCTGAGCACCCTGTCTCATGCATCAAACCTGGACTGGCAATTCGTTTCACATATGATAATTTACATGTGTCAATGCCATTCTCCCATATTATCCCACCCTCGCCGTCTCCTAGAGTCCAAAAGACTGTTCAATACATCTGTGTCTCTTTTGCTGTCTCACATACAGGGTTATCGTTACCATCTTTCTAAATTTCATATATATGTGTTAGTATACTGTATTGGTGTTTTTCTTTCAGGCTTACTTCACTCTGTATAATAGGCTCCAGTTTCATCCACCTCATTAGAACTGATTCAAATGTATTGTTTTTAATGGCTGAGTAATATTCCATTGTGTATATGTACCACAGATATCTTATCCATTCATCTGCTGATGGACATCTAGGTTGCTTCCATGTCCTGGCTATGATAAACAGTGCTGCGATGAACATTGGGGTACATGTGTCTCTTTCAATTCTGGTTTCCTCTTCAGGGATTTTAAGTAGCTTTAGTCGCCTTTAGGAAGATGCCTTCTTTTACCAGATTTCCATACAGACACTTCTCTAAACACTCACAGAATTTAAGTAGCAGATATGATAAGGCACCTGCCTGAACAGCAAACTGAATGATGCACACTAGTTTATTAAAATAATGTACTTAATAGAATATTCAGTGTGGGAGGTTTTTAATAATTTATAAATTTTCATCATGACCCTTGGTTTCAACTATCTCATTAATCTCCACAAGGTGGCAGCATAAGTACCTGGCATGCCTGGCCCTTTAATAAATAATTTGAAATTTCCACAAATCTCTCCATTTTCATTTGATAAAGAATGAACCTCAGTAAAGCTCAGAAAGCAAAGGGGCACTTTATATGAAGAAGTCACTCTTGGTAAATTGACACTTATAAGTAATGGTCAGAGCTCTCATTTAATAAGCACTCTAATGTAACACCAACAACAACAAAAAATGGGGAATAAAGAAATTATGATGTCATGGGATCAAGTAATAAAGCCTCAATTTGATACACGTCACATGCATTACTTGTCCTGGCTAAGTAGGGGCAATAAAGCACTTCTACTGTAAGAAAATCATAAAACATGAAGGTACACGCAACAACATACAATCCAATTCAAGGGAGAATGACAAATACTCATTATGCCAATCACAGGTAGTATTCCCGGGAGACTTAAGGGTGAGTGTGTGTGTGTGTGTGTGTGTGTGTGTGTGTGTCTTTACATATCCTAAGTGTTTATAAAATTGTCAGCAACTATTGACTATTGACATAATAGTCAAAAAAATAGTGATTACATATGATTAAATAAAATGCCTAAAAGACTAAAAACAGAGTCTGGATTAAAAATCTGAATAATCTTAAAATTGAAATTTTTTCTGGAAATAACTGAACTGATTATAAACCATTCACGTACTAAAAAAAGAAAAAATGACAATGATTTTTCATCACCAAAAAAGCTAGTTTCAGATTTTAGAAATGAAAAATCTATCAACAAGAAGCTAGATTTTAATAAACAAGAAACATTTTTAAAACTTTTTAAGATTCTCTACTCTTTGGATCCACAATAAGGATTCCTTTTACTACTTTTCACTCAGTTATGGCTGCAAAATAGTGAACCACCTACAAACATCAGCTTCCTATCGCAACCCCTCAATCTATCACTCAGGCCAGAAGCTGAGTTCTTGCCCAGTTCAGACTTCAGGATCCGGCACTGCTCTGGGGTGTCCAGAAGGGGTCAGCACTCGCCAGCTCATGGCTGCTGGGTCCCCTCTCCCACTGGTTATCCAGGCTCAGGGGACACTAACAAGAATCATCACCTGAGCCCCGCTCTGTGCAGACACAGTTTGAAACCCCTGCCCCGTGATATCTGGACGCTCCCAGAGGACCGTTTATTTTGCTTATTTTGGCTACACTGGGTCCTTGTTGGCTTATTTTGGCTACACTGGTCCTTGTTGATCCATAGCATGTGAGATCTTAGTTCCTCAACCAGGGATACAACCCGTGTCCCCTGTATTGGAAGGTGGATTCTTAACCACTGGACTACCAGAGAAGTCCTTGGGACCATTTATTTTAAAACTTAAAGATTGAGACCAAGTCCCACCATTTCATGAATGAGATCTGGATCTCTGAAATCTTCCCCACCTGCTCACCTGGTTGTCTAGTGGAGCAGGTTACAGCACTCATCTATCTCCTGCCTCCCAGCCCAACAGGGGCTTCACTGAAGCTTAACTTCTCCCCAGAACTCCCAATGTTGGTGCCCCTCCTACTCTGAGGGCTCCCTCACCCATGACCTAACCTGACAGCCCTAATTACTAATGACCCCAGCAAGGTACACAGTCCTTCCATAGGCAAAGCCAGGGCAACAGAACAGGGTGTTCTGGATTACAGCACAAGTTGCACAGATGTCTGAGAATATGATATTAAGCTCTTGAAAGAAGAACAAAAGTTCATTTAAAATGCTGCATAGTTTGAGACAAAAGAAATTCAGTGGACACGGGCACCTGCCGGGGGCTGGAACCTCAGCGGCAGTGCAGGGGACAGAGGGACAGACATGGCGTTGGTTGCCCCAGGTCCACTTGAACACCTGCACAGAGAACGCAATGTCGGGGCTCTCCCACCTGCTGCTCTGGGCTGCAAGCTGCCTGGCCACGCTCTGTGTGATGAGCACAGCTCTGGAAAGCACCCTGGCCCTGAGCGTGACTATACCCCTGGCTTTACTGACCACCATCATGAGAACCCCAGTACTACTCTTCCTGAGGGTCACCTCTCCAGCACCAGAAATCTGGGAAAACCACAACAGATGTGTTTCCTGTTTTGATGCTAAGGCTGATAATACCACTTGCTTTTGGACTAAATGAAAGGTAAAAGCTACTGTTTACATAATTCAAAATTAGTGACTGCCAGGTGGTGAACACAGAATTCATTCTGTGCCCACTGTCACGCCATCGCCAACCAATTTGAGACCTAAAACCACAACTCTGCCTTCCCCTCCTCAGCTCCCACCACAGCTGCCACGTCAGGTGTAACTAATACCACTAACTCTGACCTCACAACCTGCGCCAAAGTCTGCCTCTGATGCAGCCAGGTTCTTTGGAGGGAATTGTCGTTTCTTGGGTGTGCAGGCTGTAATTTTCTTTCTCGATAAATGCTGCAAATCTAAAAGACAAAACTACCACACTCTGTGGGCTTCCCTGGTGACTCAGATGGTAAAGAATCTGCCTGCAACATGCAAGACCCAAGTTTGATCCCTGGGTAGGGAAGATCCTCTGGAGAAGGGAATGGCTACCCACTCCAGTATTCTTGCCTGGGGAATTCCATGGACAGAGGAGCTTGGCAGGCTACAATCCTTGGGGTCACAAAGAGTCGGACACGACTGAATGACTAACACTAACGCCACACTCTGAAGACAGACCTGCTAAATTAAGGACTGGAGTGTAACTCACTGAAACCAAAATGTCATCTTTCAATATGTCCCACATGGAAGATGCTATTCTGGAATCTTTAATTTCTCAAAGGATGCATATAGGAGCATCGCTCTTGAAGAAACATTGGTTACATCATTTTGCTCAAGGGGAATATTTAAAATACTCTGCTTGAATACTTGAGGCTTCTTCTTTTACCTTAAATGGCTGCTGCTGTGGGATTGGTTCTCTCTTCCTGACACGCCAAATGTAACTCTAAGTGATGGAAAGCACTGTCCTGTGCAGACAACCTCATGATCTTTTCGCAGTTGCAGTGAAAGTCACTCAGCATTCCCAGACAAGAATACTAGAGTAGGTTGCCATTTTCTTCTCCAGGGGATTTTCCCAACCCAGAAATTGAACCTGGGTCTGCATTGCAGGCAGATTCTTTACCACGGAGCCACCAGGGAAGCCAAATTTAAATGTAGTCAGTTTAAAGCCAGAAAGTTTCATTATTTTTATGCAAACTCAGGATGTACTTTAATGACCAGAATTGAGAAGAATGTGTTGAATGAGCATCAGTCAGGTGGATTTTTGGCTATAATTTCAAAAATGGAATACATTTAAAAATTTACTATCCTTACAGTAAAATTTTGTGCTTGATAATAGTTATTTTTTCTACATGGAAAAAAAGATGCCACATTCCAGTTTTAAAGGAATGAATAGAAAGGACACAAAAATAGTAAAGTATACAAATTACTGTTCATATGTATAAAGCACTTTGTATCATTTAGAAATTAAAGAAGAACAATGCCTTAAAGTCTAGACTTAACCTAAAATGCAATGAGGTACCATTACATGCCAGTCAGGATGGCTGTTATCCAAAAGTCTACAAGCAATAAATGCTGGAGAGGGTGTGGAGAAAAGGGAACCCTCTTACACTGTTGGTGGGAATGCAAACTAGTACAGCCACTATGGAGAACAGTGTGAAGATTTCTTAAAAAACTGGAATTAGAACTGCCATATGACCCAGCAATCCCACTCCTGGGCATACACACCGAAGAAACCAGATCTGAAAGAGACACGTGCACCCCAATGTTCATTGCAGCACTGTTTATAATAGCCAGGACATGGAAGCAACCTAGATGCCCATCTGCAGATGAATGGATAAGGAAGCTGTGGTACATATACACCATGGAATATTACTCAGCCATTAAAAAGAATTCATTTGAATCAGTTCTAATGAGATGGATGAAACTGGAGCCCATCATACAGAGTGAAGTAAGCCAGAAAGATAAAGACTAATACAGTATACTAACACATATATATGGAATTTAGAAAGAGGGTAACGATAACCCTATATGCAAAACAGAAAAAGAGACACAGATGTACAGAACAGACTTTTAGACTCTGTGGGAGAAGGCGAGGGTGGGATGTTTAGAGAGAATAGCATCAAAACATGTATATTATCTAGGGTGAAACAGATCACCAACCCAGGTTGGATGCATGAGACAAGTGCTCGGGCCTGGTGCACTGGGAAGACCCAAAGGGATTGGGTGGGGAGGGAGGTGGGAGGGGGGATCGGGATGGGGAATACATGTTAATCCATGGCTGATTCATGTCAATGTATGGCAAAAACCACTACAATATTGTAAAGTAATTAGCCTCCAACTAATAAAAATAAATGGAATAAAAAAGATACTACACTGTTAGTATTTACTGAAAACTTACCTACTTAATTTCAAGCCTGAATCACTTAAACAATTTATACAAAGTCAAAAGCCTTCATCTGTTGAACCACCCTAAATTTTTCTTATGGCTATTAAAAAGTATACAGTTGATTTAATTATATGTTCCTTTGTACTTCAAAAAAGTACCTGTTTTACCTTAAGGTTTCCACCAAGCTTTCTTAAAAAGTAACTTTCATGAGGCAACAAAGAAGTTGCTTTAGAAGCATTTACTAGCTCTTTAATAAGACAATCATTTTAAGTTTTGACATAGAAAATGTGAGCAGCGTAATTTCAGAAAAAATTTTAGTTGATCATATTACTGTCAATTTATAATGATTGCCCTAGGTAAATAGGGCACCCTATTTACTTCTCACCCACCTTTTTCCTCTTGATTTCGCTTTCTGTAGTATGATAAGCATGCATACTTTCATCTCTTTAGTTTCCTTATAAATCATTAGTTTTACAGGTTTAGAGGGATCCTTCTTCCCTGCCTTTGACACACAGGATTAGTTCAGGGGCTTAAGTTAGTTTAAAATGAGCTTTTGCTCATTAAGGCTCCAGGTCATTAAGGCTCTTTTCTTTTAGATTCTTTATCCTACAGTGGCTGAATTTAGCATTTCGTTTTCAATATTTTAAAGTAAGAAATGACAAGTTGCTTTTGACCTTTTCTTAAGCCAAGATTCCTTACATTTAGATAATTAAAGATTCATAAAATGAAGATTTACTATTTCATCATTGCTTGCTGGTACAGCTATAGTTTGTTTTACTCACAGGTTTATACATATCCCTAATGTTTTCAAGTGCCTTAATTGTTTAATATCTGGCTTCAAAGGTTTCTGGGAAAACGTACACTCACCTCATATTTTTGTGTCTCCCTCAGTAGTAACAGTCTAGGTACCTCAGAAAAAATTTTATCATGGTGCCATGGCTGTTAGTTTTTAGTGACTACTATAAGAGACAAGATTCAGGTGAAAATACTCAGAATTTTCATTCCCTGAAAGTGGTAAAAATTAGCTGCAATAGCATAATTATCAATTACCTAGATAGGAATACCTTTGCTTTGCTTTGCTTTGCTAAGTCACTTCAGTTATGTTCAAATCTATGACTCTATGGGCTGTAGCCTGCCAGGCTCTTCTCTCCATGGGATTCTCCAGGTAAGAATCCTGGAGTGGGCTGCCATTTATTTCTCCAAGGAAACCTTGCCACATATTAATGTTAACATTGTAGCTATTTTTGTGAAAAAGTAGCTGATGAAGACTCTCATCTCTGTAATTTTGAATTCTGCTCTAACAAAATCATAATATGTAATTAGTTAGATTTTACAAGAGCCTTACAGCAGAGCTCACAGGCTTTTCCCCTCTTCCTTCAGCAGTTTAGTATCTTGAGTTATTAATAATTGGGGTTTTTTTTTAACTCTAGAACGAATATAGAAACATTTTCAGATTTTTTATCTGATTTATTCACATAGACTCTAGTACAACTAAAGTCCCTTATTCTGCCTTACAGGCATTTGCTGCACAGGCAGACACTGCTGTATACAGATATTTTTATTTCAGTTCATTAAAAACTGCAGAACCAATCTGTATCATATACCAAATTGATTTAAAACAAATCTACATCTTTGCTGGGAACAAAAGAAATCTGCTAACAAGTTTATACAAACTATGTGTTAGCATTCACATGAAATGGTCTTTATAATGGCATTTTAGTGGTGCTTTCTATAAATGCTTCAAAGAGCATTGTAACGAGAAACACCAAGCAGGCGGTAAGTCTGCTATATTAATGTAGGAGAAACCATCAGGTTAGATCAGACACCTTGGGTGAGTTTCCATGGACAGAAGGTGCAGGGGTGTGATTTTACATATTTGGGAACATACCACTGTTTTGTCGATGGGGACAGCAGGAGCTGAGTCAGAAGCAGGTGAACACGATGCAGGTGGCACCATAGAGTCACAGGCACAAAAGACAGGATGAGTCTACTGTCAGGACACGTGCTCTGTGGTCCCCACTCTGTCAGCAGCTGGGCTCCTGGGCTCTGCTCCAGATAGTGGACCCTCTGGTGGAGGCGTTGCCTTGCCAAGTCCCTCCAGGGGGTGGGGGCAGCTTCCTGCCTTTGATAACCCCTGGGTTGTCTCACGCACCACCGTTTTGCCCTTTCTGCTTTTTTCTCCCTTTTTTATCATCTATGTAACTAATTTCCTACATGCAATTCTCTCTCCCATGGTGGGGTTCTGTTTTCCTGACTAATCCCCACTGAGAGAGGAGGGTGAACACAGAGGACCACAAAAGCAGGGGGCAGGGGGGAGCATGTCCGCTGGTAAAGGGGCTGCACTAGGTGTGTGATACTGACAACTTCTTGAGACCAGACCTTGTTGTTTTTTTTCTGTTTGCCTGAACCTAACAAATAAACCAAGTGTTGGAAATCACTAGTTCTCCCTTTCAGCTTCCACACAATGCAGTCCTTTAACTGGGAATCTCTGGTGCTCACTATGCCCACCTGCTGTCTCCTCCTGCCCCTGGCTGCCACCAAAGTAGCCAGAACCAACTCAGGATGTGGGAGCCCTCACCCTATCTCACAGCCAAGATCCAGATCATGGCCTCATTCTATGTAATATAAGGTGGTCTGATAATCAAGGCAAAAAATATATGCTGATTCCCCAAAGCCTCTTTAAAAACTACTTATGTATTTGTAAGATAACCCATATCACATTGCAGCATTTTGTCTGTCCAATTCTGTAAATGCTAACATTACAAATGTATGGACTTTAAGTTCAAAATGTGCTAATACTTTGAAAGCTCTTTTGAAAATGAGAGAGAGCACAACATGTCAACATCTTAGGTTGATTTTATACTCAGTCTCCACTAGATACAAACCTTAGTGCCAATTTAAAAGAAATTTTTAACATACTTTTAGTAAATGAGCAAGTCACATTTTGCACCATGGATAAAATCTAAAAATTATCCAATAAATCTATGTCACAGTTGTCTGTTAGCAGTCATGATCCTAGAATGGAAGATTTGTTACCTCATCCCAAAAAGCAGTGAAATCTTGCATGTTCACCATCATTTCACCATCTGATGGCAGCTGAGTGTTGACCTGTGGTACTTCATCAAGTAATAAAAAATTCTACAGAAAAGAGAAAAAAACAAAACAGATTGTTAAACTACAGGAAGAAAGCACAAAGCACAAACAAACAAATTCCTGGGATTTGCAAACTTTAAACAGTCTACATACTGTTTTGCTAACTGTACTTAAAGTATTAGTTCACATCAGAACATGTTATGCAATGTGGGAGACCCTGGTTTGATTCCTAAGTCAGAAGATCCCTTGGAGAAGGGATAGGCTACCCACACTAGTATTCTTGGGCTTCCCCTGTGGCTCAGCTGGTAAAGAATCCACCTGCAATGCAGGAGACCTAGGTTCAACCCCTGGGTTGGGAAGATCCCTTGGAGAACGGAAAGGCTACCTACTCCAGTATTCTGGCCTAGAGAATTCCTTGGACTGTATAGTCCATAGGGTCACAAAGAGTCGGGCAAGACTGAGAGACTTTCACTTGCATTCACTTTCATTCAGAACATATTAAATAATATATAGGATAATATATACAATTATTACAGCTCATGGTATATATCAATATAATCATATAATATAGTGTATTTGTTGTTCAGTCACTAAGTCATGTCTGACTCTGCAATCCCATGGACTGCAGCACTCCAGGCTTCCCTGTCCTTCACTATCTCCAAGAGTTTGCCAAGATTCATGTTGACTGAGTCAGTGACGCTATCTAACCATCTCATCCTCTGTTGTCCCCTTATACTTCTCCCCTCAATCTTTCCCAGCATCAGGGTCTTTTCCAGTGAGTTAGCTCTTGGCATTAGGTGGCCTAAGTATTGCAGTTTCAGCTTCAGCATCAGTCCTTCCAATGAATACCTAGGACTGATCTCCTTTAGGATTGACTGGTTTGATCTTCTTGTAGTCCAAGGGACTTATAAGAGTCTTCTCCAAGACCACAGTTCAAAAGCGTCAGTTCTTCAGCGCTCAGCTTTCTTTACAGTCCAACTCTCACGTCCATACATGGCTAGTGGAAAAACCATAGCTTTGACTAGATGGAACTTTGTTGGCAAAGTAATGTCTCTGCTTTTTAATACACTAAGATCATCACAGTTTTCTTCCAAGGAGCAAGCGCCTTTTAATTTCATGGCTGTAGTCACCATCTGCAGTGATTTTTGAGCCCAAGAAAATGAAGTCTGTCACTGTTTCCATTGCTTCCCCATCTGTTACCATGAAGTAATGAGGTCAGATGCCATGATTTTAGTTTTCTGAATGTTGAGTTTTAAGCCAGCTTTTCACTCTCCTCTTTCACCTTCATCAAGAGGTTCTTTAATTCCTCTTTACTTTCTTCCATAAGGGTGGTGTCATCTGCATATCTGAGGTTATTGATATTTCTTCCAGCAATCTTGATTCCAGCTTGTGCTTCATCCAGCCCAGTGTTTCTCACAATGTACTCTGCATATGAGTTAAAAAAAAAACAGGGTGACAATATATAGGCTTGAGGTACTCCTTTCCTATTTGGAACCAGTCTGTTATTCCATGACCAGTTCTAACTGTTGTTTCTTGACCACATACAGGTTTCACAGGGGACAGGTAATGTGGTTTAATATTCCCATCTCTTTCATACTTTTCCACAGTTTGTTGTGATCCACACAAAGACTCTAGTATAGTTAGTGAATCCAGGAGTACATGTTTTTCTGGAATTCTCGTTTTTTTCTATGATCCAATGGATGCTGGCAATTTGATCTCTGCCTTTTCTAAATCCAGCTTCTTTTTATGGAAGTTCTTGGTTCACATAATGGTGGAAATTACAAATTTGAAAAGAAAAAGGCAGCTAGAGAGAGAGGATTAAGCAGTAAATAAACAGGGGATGGGAACAAAAAGGCAGATCCAAAAGGCAGGCTCAGACATCAACAAGTAAAACATCTGTGGAGGAAAGAGCTCATTTTGAACACAGAGAGTTAAGTGAATGTGAGGCCATTCTTCCTGTCCAAGGAACAGAGAGCTCTCAGCAAGTTCCTCCCTTCTCTTCCCAAAGAGGAATCCTGTACCCCAGGACTGTGCACAGTCACTGCCTAGTCATTGGAGTTAGCACCGGAGATACATTCTGTTTGCTTCTCCTGCTTTTAGACATTTTAATCACTCTGCAGGCATTAACACAAGAGCCCTGTGCTACTGCTATCTATATATACTACTGGCCCTACATGAGAACCAATCTTACGATATCTGTAACACACTCTACCTAATAAGAGAAGGGAGCACCTACAACATTCTGGGAAGACTGCCAGCTTTGGCACTGAGGGAGTTAAATATCACCTAATTGGAACACAGTGACACCAAACAAAAGGGCATTTTACAAAAAACCCACCGACAACTGAAAACAATGATTTGTCCCCAAACCTTGATTCTTCGGATGCTGACGATGGCCTCTGACACCTTCTCAATAGCCATGGGGAAGTAGAGGGTGCTCGAGAAGCGCAGAGACTCAATCAGTGTCACCACCACAAACACCTGGCTGGCTGTGACCAGGTTGTCAAGAAGCTCATTGATGATGAAGGTGACAAAAATCATAATTTTGCTGACAGCAAAAAATGATGCCAAATTCATGCCCCTAAGGTAGGAACTTTTCAGAATCTTGGAAATTTCCTTCCTGGAAAAGAGAGCATGAAATAGGCTTTAAAAGAAGCATCCATATTCAAGTCCTCACATGGAGGGACTGTATAGTGCACCTCCGGGTCTCCATCCCAACACCAGGACACACACTTCATCACCGCTTCACTCTTCCAACTAAACAGAGACTTCATGTCACCCTTTTAAATACTGTGGGTCAATCAGACTAGGTTTGAACATTCATTCAATAAGCATTCATAACCACAAGCCCTGGGCGGGGCTTCCTGCTGATGACAGAAAGACACAGCCCCTCTCCTCCAGGAGCTCATGAACTTGTGGGGGGAAGAGAATAAGACACCCCAAAATTGTGAGGCACCATGACATTAGACAGAGGCAGGCACCATGGCCCCTCTGGAAGCACATGTCCTGGCTATTGTAAATAGTGCTGCAATGAGCATTGAGGTACATGTGTCTTTTTGGATTCTGGTTTTCTCAAGGCATATGCCCAGTAGTGGGATGGCTGGGTCATATGTAGACGTATTCCTAGTTTTCTAAGGAATCTCCATTCTGTTGGCCATAACAGCGGTGCCAATTTGCACTCCCACCACAGAGCAAAAGGGTATAGTTTATAGATGTTTTCTTGATGGCCATTCCTACCAGTGTAGGGTAATACTTCATTGTAGTTTTGATTTTCATTTCTCTAATAAAGAGTGATGGTGAACATTTTTTTCATGTGTTTATTGACTGTTTGACTTCAGAAGCGTATATAATTTTGCCTTTAAGAAGATCGTAAATGGAGCAGCAGGTTAAAATGACATCTCCCCTCTTCCACTTAACCCTCCTGCCACATGTGAGGTGTGGAGTTCATAGTATTTAAGTTCGTCTTCATGTGAAAACTTGGTAAGACTTCCAATTTCAGTCAGTAAAAATAGGGGGAAAGTACAAAAATATGGTGTGATACATACAAAAACTTACCTTCTCAGTCTGGTAATAAGGTCTATAAATGACTTTTCCCAAGCATTCATTTTTATTGTTCTGATGCCAGTTATGACTTCACTCATGGTCCTGATCCTGTCATCTGTGAGAGCTGCGGTCTTACTCCTGAGGGGACAGACGTGAGAGATGAGCTTTAGTGACCACAGCCCAGCTTTCTAAAGCAGCAGCAGGGGGCTCAGGGAGGGGCCAGGGATCAATGATCCTCTACAGCTCTTCTGTGCTGACATCACAGGTAGGTCCTTCTCAGAGTACAAACGGAGAAAAAGACTTCTAGGAAGTCAACCATTCAGCCTAATTCAAGGAGTAACTTGGAGAACTTGCAGTACTGGCTAAGGAAGACCTGAAGTAAGTCAGGTACAAACTCTCCTCCCAAGGAGGTCACAGTTGGGCAGGGCAGGCAAAAAGACACTGAATCTAACAGGATGACAGTGTCTGTGCTGTGATAAAATAGGAGTAAAGTGCCGGTGAGCAGAAAAGATCAGGCTGTTAATTCCACTGGGAAAGGAGAACAAGAGCTTCAGAGACCTGGCAGCACTGGAACAGGGCCTCAAAGGGTAAGGAACATCTCTCCACAGCGAGATAGGAAAGGAAATTTCAAATAGACAAAAATAACACATGTAAAGTCACCAAAAAAAGAAGAAGAAAAAAAAATTCAAAAAACACAATACCTCCATCACCTGACAACCTGGACAAAGACCCACCTCCAACCCTCTGGGACCTGCTTCAGGTCTATCTCATCACCATTAGGCCCTTCATCACCAGCCACTGTTCTATCACATATACTGCTGGGACTGTGGGGCTGTATAAAGGCATAGTTAATTAAGATTGACCTTGTCCTTGAGGCACATATAAGTTAATGGAAACACTGAATTAAAACCAAGACATGAACATAGATACCTGAAAATTGCATAACAAAAGTACATGCAGCTAAATTTGGGCATATAGGATTATTACTATTTAATAATACTTAAATAACTTCAATATAGGTAACTTCTGCTCAAGGACACTCCACTCATGCAGGTATGGTGCTGGGAGGAGTCAGTGAGTGCCAAAACCTTTCCCTCTTCAAGATAAGCCTTCAGCTTAGGGCTGGAGCCTCCACTGGCTAAGCCTGACTGGTCTACAATCCATGTAAAGAAGAGACTAGAGAAGGCATTGGTTTTGTTTTTGAACATAAGCATCAAACAAATGGTGAATGTTACCAAGCACATATCACCTAGTTTTTAAACCAGTGTTTCTCTTACCTGAGTGATGAAAATGAATTTCCAACGAAGTTTTGCAAAAGCAGAAGAAAAATGAGAACTGCCATCCCAGCAAGACAAGATATTCCTATTTCCATCCAGAGCAGGGCGGTCACTGTGATAGCCTGCAGTGTCCCCACCCACAGATAGTGCAAGAACATTGTAACCTTAAAAGAGAAAGACAAAGCCTTCTTAGGACTGTATAAAATCAAAACCAGTAAGGAGAGTGTAGAACAATCTGCTCTGAAGGGACAGGAATCTAAACAGAAATGATCTCAGTGAGTTTTAAACCTGATGAAGCAGAAATCCAAGTGTTCACCCCAGATGATGCTGTTCGGGGTCAGCATAGGGCCGGCCTCAGGGACGTGCCAGGGAGAACCCAACTAGCAGCACTGAAGGAAGATGTTGATTTTGTCCACAACACAGATGAAATCAGGGCTTCCCCAAACTCTCTCTGTCCCAAAATTCAGCCCCATCTCCCCAAAAAAGCCTATATTATGGGATCTACCACACTCTCCAATAATTACTTGAGTATTTACCTTCCAGACAGGCTGTGGCCTTTCCAGGGCAGAAATTAAGGCTTTAGTTCAGTTCAGTTCAGTTGCTCAGTTGTGTCCGACTCTTTTCAACCCCATGAATTGCAGCACTCCAGGCCTCCCTGTCCATCACCAACTCCAGGAGTTTACTCAAACTCATGCCATCGAGTCAGTGATGCCATCCAGCCATCTCATCCTCTGTCATCCCCTTCTCCTCCTGCCCCCAATCCCTCCCAGAATCAGGGTCTTTTCCAATGAGTCAACTCTTTGCATGAGGTCGCCAAAGTATTGGAGTTTCAGCTTCAGCATCAGTCCTTCCAATGAACACCCAGGATTGATATCCTTTAGGATGGACTGGTTGGATCTCCTTGCAGTCCAAGGGAATCTCAAGAGTCTTCTCCAACACCATGGTTCAAATGCATCAATTCTTCAGCACTCAGCTTTCCTCATAGTCCAACTCTCACATCCATACATAACCACTGGAAAAACCATAGCCTTGACCAGACAGACCTTTGTTGGCAAAGTAATGTCTCTTCTTTTTAATATGCTATCTAGACTGTTCATAACTTTCCTTGCAAAGAGTAAACATCTTTTAATTTCATGACTGCAGTCACCATCTGGAGTGATTTTGGAGCCCCCCCAATTAAGGCTTATTCACCTTCAAATTAAGTATAGGCCTTCAGATCAGTTCAGTCGCTCAGTCATGTCCGACTCTTTGCAACCCCATGAATCGCAGCACTCCAGGCCTCCCTGTCCATCACAAACTCCCGGAGTTTACTCAAACTCATGCCCATCGAGTCGGTGATGCCATCAAGCCATCTCATCCCCTGTCGTCCCCTTCTCCTCCTGCCCCCTATCCCTCCCTGTATCATGGTCTTTTCCAATGAGTCAACTCTTCACATGAGGTGGCCAAAGTATTGGAGTTTCAGCTTCAGCATCAGTCCTTCCAATGAACACCCAGGACTTATCTCCTTCAGGATTGACTGGTTGGATCTCCTTGCAGTCCAAGGGAATCTCAAGAGTCTTCTCCAACACCATAGTTCAAAAGCATCAATTTTTCTTTTTTTTTAAGACATTTAAAAGAAATTATTTATAATTTTATGTACAGAATTTATATAATTAAAATATTACCTAAATAGTTGTTGCTAAATCATTTTAGCAACAATTCAAAGATGTAATATGAATGTGATACCATTTTTAATGTTGTTTTTATGTTTTTTCTTTTTTTTCCCCATTTATTTTTATTAGTTGGAGGCTAATTTTGACGCTCAGCTTTCTTCACAGTCCAACTCTCACATCCATACATGACCACTGGAAAAACCATAGCCTTGACCAGATGGACCTTTGTTGGCAAAGTAATGTCTCTGCTTTTTAATATGCTATCTAGGTTGGTCTAACATCATGTTTAATGAAAAAATAATTGAAGGACTAAAATAATTTAGTCGCTTAGTCATGCCTGATTCCTTGTGACTCCATGGATTGTAGCCCCCCAAGCTTCTCTTCCCAGGGGATTTTCCCAATCAAGAATGCTGGAGTGAGTTGCCATTTCCTTCACCAGGGAATCTTCCTGACCCAGATATAGAAACCAGGCCTCCTGCATTGCAGGCGAACTCTTTACCACCTGAACTACAATGGAAGCCCCTAAACTTAAAGGCCGAGATCATCCAGGAAAGAGAAGTGGTCTATACAGATCTGGCCAACAGCTACAACACTCTGGGTAATGTGATCTATTCATAAAGTAAGTGTGAAATGGGTATGATGGAACAGCAGAGAGTAGGCTGTGTCTGGCTGGAGACCACCCACTTGGCATATTCCTCAAAGCCTCCCTATGCAGCAGGCACTGAACAGGGCACACAGAAAGAACATCCCCTGCCCACCAGGCTTTCATCATCCAGAGGAGGAGGAAGACAGTCCCTCAACACCCACACCACGTGCCAAGAAGGGCCACTCCAGGAGGACCCCAGGAACACTAACCAAGCTGGGCAAGAACACTGCTGCCTGCCTATTACTGGAGTATGTTACAGACAGTGTCAGAAAAACAAAACGCTCATGTACAGGACAACACATATGATCACATCTAAGCTGTACACAGAGGAAATGAGGGTTGGATAAAGAGAACCTTTGCCTTGTGTCCTCAACAGAACCCTGGCCAACACCAAACCCTGGCACCTGGTATCCCAATAAGCTAAACCCAGTGAGAAGGATGGGGAATGGAAGAGGATCTCTCAGGGGCAGCTCACCTGATCAAACCTGTTCACATCATTGGACAGCAGGTTGACTATCTGGCCTGTGGTGGTCTTCCCCATGGCCAAAGTACTCAGGCGAAGTGACTGAAATGAGAAAAAGACACAGAGAATCAGATTTCTACAGTAATACCAAGTCAGTCTGAGGACATAGCAAAATGGAGTGTATTTTGATGGGGTCTTGTGTAGTGTCAGGACAAGCAGGATGATGCCTGAAAGCAGGGCTCCAGCGACCCATGTTCATCCTTAGAAGACTCAATGTGGTGGCAGCCCTGCCCACAAGGACAGCAAAGGGAGGAGCAGGAGATAGAAGCAAAACCTGTTTCTCAATGAACTTGGACCTGCCTGAAGGATAAAGAAGACTTAGGGGTCAACTAAAGCAATTTTGAGCCAAAATCTAGACAGCATATTAAAAAGCAGAGACATCACTATGCCGACAAAGGTCTATATAGTCAAAGCTATGGCCTTTCCAGTAGCCATGGACAGATGTGAGAGTTGGACCATAAAGAATTGATGCTTTTGAAATGTGGTGCCGGAGAAGGCTCTTGAGAGTCCCTTGGACAGCTAGGAGATCTAACCACTCAATCCTAAAGAAAATCAACCCTGAATATTCATTGGAAGGACTGATACTGAAGTTGAAGCTCCAATACTTTGGCCACCTGATGCCAAGAGTTGACAAACTGGAAAAGACCCTGAGCTGGGAAAGATTGAGGGCAGGGAGAAGAGGGGACAACAGAGAATGGGATGGCTGAATGGCATCCCTGACTCGATGGACATGAGTTTGAGCAAACTCCAGAAGATATTGAAGGGCAGGGAAAGCTGGTGTGCTATATAGTCCATTGGGTCACAGAGAGCTGGACAGGACTGACTGACTGAACAACAACAAGATGAGAGTGGAGAGGCCGCCTCAAGGGAAGAGATTAGAGGATGTGGACTATAAATGTGATCAGTCATTAATACTAGGTGTGATATCATTTAAACACTTTGGTCTTAGTTTCCTCATTCTAAAACTAATCAGTATAATATTCAAAACACTAATCCTGTGAGGAACCTGTGTTCTTAATGCCAGTCTGCTGACTTTACAAAAAGCACAGCCTATGCTGTATAATTCTTTCATTTGATAAAAAGCTCTGAAAAATTCCCTAGAGATCTGCGGAACCTGAACAGACCACCTTGAGCTATTTCAACAGACCACCAACTGGAGCCATGGATCCAAACAAAATGTCATGGTTCATAAAAATGTTTTAGTCCTCAAGTTAAACAGAAAAATCAATGATCAAGTAAGACTATAAAGTGATATAGCCACAATGGAAGAGAGTATGGCAGTTCCTCAAAAGACCAAACATGAAATTAACATATAGTATAGCAATTTCACTTCTGGGAATGTACTCATATTAAAGCACAAACTTAAATTGATTATTTGTGCACTGTGTTCATAGCAGCATTGTGTACAAAAATCAAAAGGTAGAAACAACTTAAATGTCCACTAACAGATGAATGGATACACACAGTATTGTATATACATATTAAGGAATATGATTCAATCTTAAAAAGGACTTAAATTCTGACATCTGCTCCAAGATGGATGAATCTTGAACACATTGTACTTACATGGCGTAAACAAAATGACAAACATTGTGTGATTTCATTATATGAGGGACCTAGAGGAGTCAAATTCATAGAAAGAAGCAGTAGAAGGGTGATGACTAAGAGGAGGGGACTGGGGAGTCCATGTTTAATGGAGGCAGAGATTCAGTTTGGGAAGAAGACAAAATTCTGGAGATGCACAGTGGTGATGGCTTAATGTGAATATACTTAATGTCACTAAATGGTGCACTTAAAAACAGTTAAAATGGTAAATTTTATGTTGTGTATATTTTACCACAACTTTTTTAAATGAATGAATCAAAGCCAAAAGTAATTTTACCACAGCTGCAGAAAGGTAAATAAATGACAAGCCTTTTATACACAATCTTTTTTTTGTTAGTTTTACAGTTTATTTTTTAATTGAATAACATGTTTTAGTTAGTTTTCCATGTCTACAAAAGTAGTTCTAACATCCATTTTTAAAACAGAATGATTTATACTAGCCACTCAGTCACGTTCGATTCTTTATGACCCTATGGACTAGAGCTCTCCAGGCTCCTCTGTCCATGAAATTCCCCAGGCAAGAATACTGGAGTGGGTTGCCATTTCCTTCTCCATTATATATGATACATATTCCAAATTACCAACTATTACTTTGAGCTTAGCAGCCATTCCATTTCCAACACCCGACCTGCTTTCTCCTCAGGACCAGGGATCAGGGGACAGGGCCTGAGCATGAGCCACAGACATTCACAGGGGCCTTTCAGAGCTGCTCGGCAGCCCCAGTTTGCGCTAAGGAATTGGCCCACCTGTAACCTGCAAGAAGTGTCTTATTTCTGCATCTCACGAGAAATCCAGATTCAAGGCTGTGCATGAGGAAATTCCCATGTTTCTGGAATTTCAGGTTATGTAAACAGTTTCTGACTTTGTAAAGAAATCATTATTTTAGGCTAATTAAGCCAGTACATGAACACTTTGGGAGATGTTTACAATCACATAAGCAACATACAAGGTCAGATCAGATTTCCTAAAGGATTCCAAAGTGTTAGTGGGAAGAGGAAGAAAACTAGGTGGACAGTGGTTCACCTGTGCAGCAATGCATGAGCTTTGTTTGACTAAACCATCATCTCAAATCTAACTTAAAGTTTTCACAATGCAGTTCTGGTGAAATTTCCTGCATACTTATGGGAGCTAAGCATGATCTGAAAAGATAAATGTCTAGCTAATTTGTGGGGAAATCTGAGTATTTGCCTACTAAATGGTAGAAGGTGCAAGAGAATAACAAAAATGACGATGACTGACAGTGAAGACCCTTAACTAGAGGGTATGTCACCCAAGGAGAAACTGGGCTCATGTACCAAACACAGACAGTGAGATGCCAGGGCCCTGAGTCCACACGGTTCTGAGATTTAACAAGAGTCTACACAAGGAAAAATGGGAGAAGACATTCTACATTTTGCCCAGAAAAGCATTCCCAAGAAACAGGAGCTCTAGATAAGTAACAAATAGTAAAAGAAGCAATAAGTTTCATTTAAATTGCCTGGTTTTAGCTTTCATTGAGGATTTTCTTCATTTTTAATAAGAATTAAATATATTTAATGTGGGCAACACGATGTTTTGATGTAAATAAACATTGGGAAATGGTTACAATAGGAAAACAAATGAACATGCCCATCATCGCACACAGTTATCCTTTCATGTGTGTGGTGAGAACACTTAACATCTACTCTCTCAGCAAATTTCAACTATAAAATACAGCTAAATAAAAAAATTTTTCTAGGAAAAAGCAAACAGCCCAGGGCAAAGAGATATGCAGGATAAAGTTTATAAAGAGCTCTTCAGCTAGGTGTATCTGTGGCAATTTGTAAAAACACCTAAAATCCATATTTCTTTTAAACTAGTTAAGATCAGGGTAAACTATGGAATAATTCTGTGGCATTTCTCAATACAAATTCACTGAACACATCAAATCAGGTTTTATTAAGAGTGCTAAAATTCATATTAATGAAAGAGGAAATATTGAATTAAGAAAATAACTTGAATGAATAGCAATAAATTCTCACCAAAATTACTAAAAACAGCATAAGATTTCAAGTTTCATCCCAACATTCAGCTCTATTCTTTAATACCATTATAAACAATCATAACTACAGAATATAGTGAGCAAGTCTATGTTTAGCATGGATTCCATTTATATTTTTCTTTAGTTCACATAATTACATTCAACATTATTAGATGGGTCATTTAAACATAAAATCATTCCCTTTCTCAAATACATTCTGTGCTCCTAGACTTAACTTTACAAATCACCGAAGTTTACTTTTAAATACAACTTTGATATAAAAGATGGTCTTGCTGCTTCTGCTGCCGCTGCTAAGTCGCTTCAGTCATGTCCGACTCTGTGCGACCCCATAGCCGGCAGCCCACTAGGCTCCTATGTCCCTGGGATTTTCCAGGCAAGAATACTGGAGTGGGTTGCCATTTCCTTCTCCAAAAGATGGTCTTAATGAACAACAAAATTGCCACAAGTACAGCTACAAGATTAAGGTACAAAAACATTGAAAACCAATTTGATACTTTTTATACTTATTTTTTAATTAGATTCCATTACAAGTTGAGTGGATATTATACAATAACCTGTGGATTAAAGTAATCAAAGGCAGCCTTGACCCAATCTCAATACAAAACTTTTCATTATTTACTGGTAAAGTTTGCTTAAATGATAACAACAAAATTGGCCTGCTGCAAATAGCAAGCTTCTCTAGGAAGGTGTAAATGATCCCAGTTACAAAATGTTTAATTTACAGAGAACTTTCCCAAGACATTTCTGACGCTTCGGGGGAGGTACACACTGTGGTACCAAGTGACACTCACCTTGCGGTAGATCATATGGCACACGGCTACTCTCAGCCTCATCCCCACACGCTGAATGTGATAGAAGTACACATGGTGCAGAACAGCCCACACGAGCACGCAGGCGCTCAGCCCTGCCGCGTAGCCGTAGGCTTCGTGCAAAGCGCCAGAATTGGCAGGATCATAGTTTTCAACATAACTAATAATTTTCCCCAAAAATATGGGCAGAACTACCTTGGTGCCCTCCTGAAAGAAAAAAGCTCTAATCAGAAATACAAGTCATGCCCGTTTTCCTTAACATAAGCTTTACTTTTATAATTAGCATTTTAAAAACCCATCTTGACAAAATGCTACATTCATGGCTAACGTAAAAGAAAAATACACAGATCTACTATCTCCAATAAGACAAGCAGAAAATAGTTTTAGCATAAGTCAAAATCTCACATTCAAAGACAATAAAGCCTTAGTATTGGGTTGGCCAAAAAGTTCTTTTGGCTTTTAAGTAAAAATAAAAGAAACATTTTTCATTTTCACCAAGAACTTTGTTAAACATATTCCAAGTTCTGTTCCACTATCTTCTGCCATTTTTCAGGAAACTTCATAATTCCATCTTCCCAAAACTTTATATCTTTTTGAGCAAAAACTATTTCAGGTACCTTTTACAGTCTTCCTGGGAATTAATATTCTTTCCATTAAAATAATTTTGCAAAAAACAAAATAAGCAGAAACCCTAAGGAGCAGTATCTGCTGAATATGGCAGATGAGTCAGAACTTCCAAGCCAAGCTGTAACAGTTTTTGCCTGGTCAACAAAGAAACATGTGGTCTTACATTATCCTGATGGAAGATGATTCATTTTCTGTTGACTAATTCCAACACTTTACATCAAGTGCTGCTTTAAGTTGGCCTAACTGGGAGAAGTACTCGTTGGAATTAACTGTTTGGTTTTCCAGAAGGAGCTCATAACAGAGGACTCCCTTCCAGTCCCACTGTATACACAATATCACCTTCTCTGGATGAAGACTGGACTTTGGTGTGGTTGATGGTGGTTCATTTCACTTACCCAACCATCTCTTTCATTCCACATTAGTGTAGAGTATCCACATGTCATCACCCATCACAATTTGTTTTTAAAAAGGAGCATTTTATTAACAGTTACATTTTAGTATAGAATTGCATGTGGAAATAATGGTCAAGAAGGGTTTTTTTTTCCCTCGCTTAACTTAGGTGGAAACCAAACATCAAAGTGATTAATTGAACCAAGATGGTGAAATGACTTTCAGTTTTTTTTTTTTTGCATATTTTGAGTATGCTGGCTATCTCCCACATGATATAACATTGATTGTTCTCAATTAATGTCTAGATTTGATCTCTATCAACTTTAACTGATCTACTCGACTGAAAAGCATCATTCACCAAGAAATCTCCAACACGAACCTTTTTTTTTTTCCTGGCTATATTGGGTCTTCATTGCAGTGTACATGCTTCTCTAGTTGGAAAGCACCAGCATATTTGCCCTGAGGCATATGATACCTTAATTCCCCGAAAGTGAAAGTGAAGTCGCTCAGTTGTGTTCAACTCTTTGCAACCCCATGGGCTGTAGCCTACCAGGCTCCTCCATCTATGGGATTTACCAGGCAAGAATACTGGAGTGGGTTGCCATTTCCTTCTCCAGGAGATCTTCCCAAGCCAGGGATTGAACCCAGGTCTCCCACATTGTAGGCAGATGCTTTACCGTCTGAGCCAGCAGGGAACTCAAAGCCTACAGCACCCGGTATTTCCATGTGGTCTTCCATCAAAGTACTAACCAGGCATGACCCTGCTTAGCTTCCCAGATCAGATAGATTGGGCAAGTTCAGGGTGGTAATCAAACGCATGACCCTTGCATTGGGAGGCAGACTCTTAACCACTGGACCACCAGGGGAGTCCCCTGATGGGTTTGTTTTTGACAGCTCTCTTCTGTCTGTAAAATGTTGAGGAACCCACAGGAGGAAGAGAAGGAGAATCCAAAATTCAAAACGCAAAGCATAACTAAAAGCACTTTCTGCTCAACTAATAGTGCCTGATCAGATTAATGACAGAAAGCTGACGCCATCTCTCAAATGGATGTGACACTGAAGCCCTACACCCCTGTCTTGTTCTACACACATGTTCACAGGCTGTAACACCTGCCTTACCTTCCACAAGGTTACAGATTTCATCTATTCCAGAGAAGAGAAGACTGTTTATTGGAAGGATTATGAGTAAAATGACCATATCAGAGGAAGATGACCAGTTCTCAGGAACACAAAGGCTCACTGTTACATTTCTAGGAAGCCTCATCATTCACCCCTGGAAGCGCTAAGAGCTTAAGAAGAGCCCCTCATAGATTGTAAAACACACTGTTGATATAGTTTACTGAGATGGAATTCTGGAGACTTACACAGAGAAGCAAAAATGTCAAACTACACATGGCAGTCCCAGCACAGATAGGATCAAGGGAAGCCCAGTGCTGCAGGCTACAAACCTGGGACTATCCACCAGAAACCCAGTGGTAATACCTGCCATCCCAAAGTGTCCTAAAACTCTGATTCTTTTTGGGAATCACTGCTATCTGTTCAGTACAATTGCTCAGTCATGTCCAACTCTTTGCAACCCCATGGACTGCAGCATGACAGGCTTCCCTATCCATCACCAACTCCCAGAGCCTGCTCAAACTCATGTCCATCAAGTCAGTGATGCCATCCAACCATCTCATTCTCTGTCATCCCCTTCTCCTCCCACCTTCAATCTTTCCGGCATCAGGGTCTTTTCCAATGAGTCAGTTCTTCGCATCAGGTGGTCAAAGTATTGGAGTTTCAGCTTCAGCATCAGTCCTTCCAATGAATATTCAAGACTGATCTCCTTTATGATGGACTGGTTGGATCTCCTTGCAGTCCAAGGGACTCTCAAGAGTCATCTCCAACACCACAGTTCAAAAGCATCAGTTCTTCAGTGCTCAGTTTTCTTTACAGTCCAACTCTCACATCCATACATGACTACTGGAAAAACCACAGCTTTGACTAAATGGACCTTTGTTGGCTGTTACTCAGCTGTCTGTTACTCATGTATTTGATCATAACACCATTTCAATTACAGGAGGAGTAAGAGTGATATCACCCACCTAAAAGAATACTAATAAATGCAAGAAATTCAGCAAAAAATAGTGTGAAATAAAGGCAGGTCATTACTGCCTAGGCGTCTGGGGTTATCTCCTGAAAGACAGTCTTTAATAACCCAGATGAGCAAACAAACTCACTAAGGAGTAATGCCAGTCCAGGGCCTATAGCTTCTACTCTTCTGTCTATTCTTGACCCTCACCTCAACTAGTGAGGAATAAAACTACTGAGAAAATATTCCCTACCAAACTTGAAACTAACCAAATTAAAACTTTCTGGATAGGCAAGTACAAGATCAAAAATTGTTCCTCAAAACTCTTCATCTCTGACATCAGTCTGATTTGAGAATATTATTTCCATAAACCATTGAAGAATAGAGTTTTTATATCCTCATAGGAATTCTTCACAACTATGAAACCATGAAAGATTTTTTAAAAAAGAGTCTAATACAATATGACAAAATTTGATCAAAGTTCTACAAGAATCTGAGTCTCTGCAGCAGACATTTCTCAGTGGAGTCCTTGGTATTCAGCCTCCTGAAAGCACTTGATTTTTGGGCCCCATTTCCTGCTTCTTAGGGGAACTTTTCACACAGTTAAATACTAAAATTCCTACTCCGTATAGTTTCTCCGTTACATTTTCACACATACTTAAAAGGTTTCTTACCCAACTCCACCATCTCTGCTTCATGAGAAAAATTAAGAAAACACAGAAAACAGAAACAACCTACATCAGACAAAGAAAAAATGCTTGAGTGAAATATATAAGCAGAAAAAAAAATGAGCTTGTGGGAAAAATGAAGGGGCAATTTATCTTCAGAAATGGGGGAACAGGTGACAAAGAACAGAGTTGAGAGAGATCCAGAACTAAGGAGGAAAATCAATAATCCTGAAAAATCATTAGGATTCTAAATACAACTTCATTCCTCCTGACACAGTGGTCTTCATCCTGACTGCTCCTTAGCATCACTTGGGAGGGATTAAGAGCACTCTGAGACCTGAAGGCAAACCTCCAGAAACTGGTTTAGGTTCAACTGATTAAGGATGGACCCTGAAGTTCCCTCTCCCTGGAAGATTCTGGATGTAGAAACTAATCCCATGTAAGCATCTGCTATTCTCCCACATCATCAGGGCATCTGGGACTGGAGGGGCCATGAACCTGCTTTGAAGAACTTACAAGTACCACAGAAGGTTTAAACCTGAGTTCCATGTTACATATCATACTTCTAAGAAAATTATTTATGAACCCAAGCTCTTGAGACTCCAAAGATGAAATTCAGACCTTTTGTTCGAAACCACAGGAAAAAAATAAATGTTTATAAAATACAGTATTTACAAAATAAAAATATGAATCAAAATTTGTAATGTTATAGCTAAAGAGGGAGAAGAATTAGAATGGAACAAGGATACCAGTCTTCTTTAAAAATAGCCTTTTTTGTTGATTTGACTTTGGAATTGTGAAAACATTATACAGAATTGTAATTATAAAACAATCAAGTTTTCAAAATCAATTCCTAAAATTTCAGAGTAAAATGAAACAAAAATTATATCCACCAAGTAGGTTGGCAGTTACACAAAAACAAATGATTAAAAGTGGTTTTTAAAAAAAAATTTGAAAACACATTCCCTGTGTGATATGCCTATCTAAGAACAATATCAACAGCAACAACAACAACATGCTTCCAAAAGTCACATTATGGTTAATAGTGTTGATATTATAATATTTTAAAATGAATAATTATGTCAGTATCATTGAGAACTGGGATTCACTGAAGTTGCTCAGTCGTGTCCGACTCTTTGTGACCCCAGGAATATAGCCTGCCAGACTCCTCTATCCATGGAATTTTCCAGGCAAGAATACTGGAGTGGGTTGCCATGCCTTCCTCCAGGGGACCTTCCCAACCCAAGAATGAAACCCAGGTTTCCCATGCTGCAGGCAGACACTTTACCATCTGAGCCACCAGTAGGCATGGAAGAAAAGAGAAAAGATGATGAAAGGAAAAGAGATACCAATCTAAGAGTAAAAAACTAAGTAAAAGCACTACTGTCCTGAATCTGATTTAGATTGGAAATACCCATATAAGCTCAAGGTCTGTTTACTACAAAAAAATGTATTCTAGCTTTGTCCAATGACAAAGCTGAGAAACAATAGCCAACTCAACAGCAATGAGCACCCCTAGTGCCCAGACCATAGTCTCTAAATACCATTTCCCACTAGAAGGAGTCATGGCTGCTTGGAGAAATGGAGACTCCAGGGCTGGGGCAAATTTGTACTTAAAATGCACAGCTTTTTTTGTGTAACGATAAGCCAGAAACTTCTTGTCATACCAGAAAGCAAAAAATTAGCAAAGATTTCTACAGTTTGCACAAAAGACAGGAGTCCTGGGAAGAGATCTATTCTATCCTTACTGGCAGAGCTTGGTTTCACAAAGGGCTTAGAAAACTCACTGCTGTTTACAGGCCATCATGGCAGAACAAGAACTCGAGAAAAGTCACATCTAAAAGTCAACTTTTCTGGACAGTAATTAAAAGTTTCACTCTAAGAAGAATTTTGAATTTTTCACCATTATGAAAGCAATCTTTTTAAAAAGGAGTCACCTATTTCCTTGACTTATTAAAGAAAATGGATTGAGGGAGATTGGAGGATGAGTGAAATAGGTGAGGGAGATGAAGAGGCACAAACTTCCAGTTATGGGAATGTAATGTACAACATAGGAAATACAGTCAATAACACTGGAATAAACTTTGTATGGTGACAGAGGGTAACTAGACTGATCAGGGTGATCATTTTATAATGTACAAAAATATTGAATTACTACACTGTACACTTGAAACTAATATAATATTGTAAGTCAATCATCCTTCAATTTTTTTAAAAAAAAAGTTTTCAATGAGATAATAAAAATACAGTTTTTTTTAAAAAATGAATTGAAAAGCATCACCCTCAAATATGTCTCAAGGTCATCACTGTGGATATTACTAACACCTAATGGCTAATGCTAAGCTCTCAAGAACCAGCAGGGCGCACACGGCAGGTCTGCTCTGCAGGCCCCTGTCTGTTTGGCTCAATGCCCCCTCCTCCTCTCCCTGCTGTGTGCTCCTCAGTGGTTGCTCTGAGCCCACAGTATCTTTGCCACCAGCAGCCACTTCCCAGCCTCCCGGGTTGAGCAGAAGTGAGGGACACATGGAAGAAAGGGTTGGGAAATAAATGCAAAGACCATTTGCATTGGTTCCTCAGCTCCTGGGGAACCAGCCCTGAGTCCAGGCACAAAGCCCACTTTGGGACGCAGAGGGTTCTGCTTACTTCCTACCCATCAGCTGAGCTCCAAATTGAAAACTTACACAAATATGTGCCTTCCTATAGCCTCTACCTAAAACAGAGACAACCAGCAAAAGTGGCCTTGGACAAAGGTCAGTGATTAGACAAGACCAGCCATTTCTAAGGTTCCCAGGAAGAGGACATAAACTCTGGTCACTCCTCCCCACTCAGGGTAGGGAGTGAGGGAACCCACTGAGGCTCTTCAAGGTCACCCCATTTACACACCAGCAGGTGGAGACCTCACCTCTCAGAGAGAAGCCCTGATGACCTGGGGAGATGGTCTCTGTGTCTCTGGTCTAGGAAGAGTCTTTAGGATCCACCTCTCTACCCTGAGGGCCCCAGGCAGGAGGAGACCTATTCTCCTCCTCGCCCAAGATCCCCATGAAGGTACACACAGGGGCCAGGCATGCAGGGAACTCACTGGCTGGTCTATTTAGGGGAGACCTGCACATGCTCCAGGTTGAACAATAGCCTGGTACTTGTTTCCCCAAGCATTATGGGCACTCCTCAATTCTCACAGGACAAAGGTTTCACACTTTGAAATCCTAACCCTTAAAGCTTCACCCTGGACTGGCATCACCCTGCCTCTTCCCACTGGTGCTTCCAGGAGTGCCAGCACTGTGGTTGGTCACAGCACTGTCTGGGAATCATGGGTAACCCATGAGTCATTCTGTGCACCAGAGGAATTAAAAGAGGGCAGGAGGTCATAAAGTAAATGTGTTCATGTTTTAGAGAGGCGGAGCCTGGTGGGTTGATGTCTATGGGGTTGCACAGAGTCGGACACAACTGAAGCGACTTAGCAGCAGCAGCAGCAAGCTGAGTTTAGATCTTCTGCGATCTAAAATTATCACCGGTGGTAATGAGGGGAAGGTTAAAGGGCTCCTGGTCTATCTGAACACAGCATGATGTTGCTTCTAGCATCAACATCCTAGTCAAATCTGGCATCCAGGTGACATGGACACCTGAACTCTACCCTCATTTAGGATCCCAAATCTGACTTCCTGACCCAATTACCTGGGAGCTGACAGATTCTCTGTCTCTCCAGTTGTGTGGGGTGGACTTCACCTGCCCAGCTGCCTACTGCTCACAATGCCCTTCAGTACAACACAGCCTTTATACAAGAGCCATGCTGCCCACTTGTAAACCACCTGGCCCACCCACCTCACTCCCAACACAATGGACTGACGACAGCTCACACCTTCTCCACCTAAAACACCCCTTTCACAGCAACTGCATCTTCCATCCCTCCTGCCCTCACACACTCACAGGCTGCCTGTGTCCCTAAGGCAGGGTTAAGGGACCATGTAGAGCACGAGCCACCCAGGGGGGTCTGCAGCAGACCTCCAGCAGGCTCAGCCAGAACAGGGGGCTGACAGCACTGTGTCCCCAGGTGGAAGTTTCTCACTGGGGGGCCTTGACCCAGGATCTTCAGGGTCATGGAGGTCATTGACCTCACAGCTTTCTGCCTTTGGTTTTTCTCCTGCACATCCCCTCCTACACTCTCTGCCAATCCCAGCTACCAAGACTCTCCCTTCAACCAGCAAACCACCCCCCACAGTCAGGACTGAAACCAGCACAGATGGTGCATGGATTCTCCACAATTCATGGTGAAGCTGGAGCTCCTCCCCACGGGGGGCTCTGACCTGGATGATCTGGCCCACGGGGAGGGTGCAGCCCAGGAAGGAGCTATGCAACTCCTGCTCAGATGCAGGGCCCCAGGTCCTGTTCCACTGGAATGGGAGAGGTGATGATCCCTTCTTAGGAAAGCATTTATCAGATGTGTCCTGGGCAAGTTAACAATTGCTTGCTGAGTGACTATAAAATGTCTTAGGTTTTGGGCTCAGGTCCAAGATTACTTCCTCCAAAGCAGGAGGCACATACTCCTTGAGGTTTTAGGATCTTCTTTTTCTCAAGGATCACTTTTAGCATTTATATCATTTACTGAGCACTAACAATGTCCTAAGTAAGTAAAGTCACTCAGTCATGTCCGACTCTTTGTGACCCCATGGACTGTAGCCTACCAGGCTTCTCCGTCCATGGGATTTTCCAGGCAAGGGTACTGGAGTGGGCTGCCTTTTCCTTCTAGTATGGTATAAAATGTCTTTTCTTGTCAGTGCCATCCTTCCACAATACTATGTTTTAATTGGTTAAAAGAAAACTATTAGCTTAGCAAAAAGTTCATTCAAGTTTTGCCATAAGCTGTTATGGGAAACCTGAAAGAATTTTCTGGCCAACCCAATAGTAATCCCCTGAAGCGTTTGTCTTTAAGCACCTGTCCATTCTAAAAGTAAATACAACCACTGAACTCCATCCTGATTCACAGATAAGTTTTATCTTCAGACCTTAAACCACTGTCCTCTCTCCCCACCATCTCATCCATCTCAGTACTGATCTGCATACACTAAGAAGCAATGCACAGTATGTAAAAGCTTTAACCTCAAGAAACGTAAGTAGTCCCAAAACGAAATAGAATTTCCAGTAACACTTGACGATTGCTTTCATTAAAGAAGGCTCCCCTGCATCTTTCTTGGCTCTCAAAACTTCTCAATCCCAGTACCTGTGATGAGAAACAAAGCACAGTGAAGAGCAGCCCGGCTACAGGTGAAACGGGGGAGGGGCGGAGTGGGAGATGAGCCTTTACTGCAGGTGCTCTGCAGCCACCCCATAGGTGCTGGCTAATTGGTCTCAGGGCGCCTGAAGGATGAGCAGTGTAGACCGAAGCACCTGAAAAAGTACCAGACCAGGCATTGAGGGAGAAGTCTTAGTCTCAGAAAACAAGTTCCTGACAAGCTTTGCTGGACTCCATGAGCAGCTCAGGAGGGCAGACATCCTCCTCCAGGGGCCCCACCTCCAGGGACAGAGCACAGCCTCCAGGGCCATGGCTGCGGGCTCCCTCCAGGTCCACAGATGCACAGGGAACACGGGCTCCCCCAACCTCCAACGTGTGCTAAGCCCGGGGTCAGCCGGAGAGGGTGAGTGTGCAGTGTCAGGGGAGGAGGCTCCAGAGAACCCAAAGAAAGCAAAGCCTCCCCCACACATAAACCCCTTTAGCCCCAGGTGGAAATTCTCACTCTCCCTTCTCCCTGCTTCCTGTGCTCACCCTTGCAGCTCTTCTCCAAGATGCTGGGAGCGATCTTCTGGAAGCACTGAGTACAAGTCATCTTGTTTTAATTTCCATTCATAACCAATTTTAAACAAGGGGTTTAGCCACCTGTTAAAAATTAAAATGACAGTGACATATATCTAAATTATACAGCTCTAATTAGAATCCTACAGTGATGGGCTTTGTTAAAAAAAAAAAACTCTATTTTAAATATATAGAGATATGATGGAATAATTAGACATGTGTTTACTCACACACAGACACATACACACTCCCTAACTCTGTAGGCTGAGAGGCCCCGGAAGCAATGACACACTGGTAGCAAAGAGCATTCTAGCCCCTGGTTCTTGGGGTTTTGTTTAACACAGACAATTACAATTTTTGCCGGGGGGGAAGGACTTTCAAGGTCTACTCTCTTATCACCTTTCAAGTATTCAATACAGTAGGATTAATTATAGTCACCAGACTGGACATTATACCTTCATGAAAGTCAAAGTTGCTCAGTCGTGTCCAACTCTTTGCGACCCCGTGGACTATACAGTCCATGGAATTCTCCAGGCCAGAGTACTGGAGTGGGTAACCTTTCCCTTCTCCAGGGGATCTTCCCAACCCAGGGATCAAACTCGGGTCTCTCGCATTCCAGGAGGGAATTCCATGAACTGTATAGTCCATGGGGTCGCAAAGAGTCGGACACAACAGGGGGACTTTCACTTTCATGAGGATGTAATGCGCAGTCTGGTGGCTATAGTTAATCTACTGTATAACTTATTTCATAATGGAACTTTGTGTCCTTTGGCCCCCTTCACCCAGTTCTTGGCTTTTTAATATCCTTCTTCCCTAGAAGGAACCAACTGAAGAACTGGCTGATTCCAAGGTTGGGGCTGTGTGTGTCAGCACCTGATAGATATAAACACCCGACATGAAGCTTTGGAGACATCCATGTCAAAGACATCCGTCTCCGGTGAACACGTGACAGCTACACAACGAGATAAAGAGCCAGGCCACCCCACCCGTGAAGTTCCCGCTTCAGAAAGCTCTGGTTGACCTGATAGCAGACCATCTCACTGACTGCTTGCTTCTCCCTTCCCGTACTTTAATTCCCGCTCTTATTTTTTAAATTCACCAATAAAGAGGGAAACTTTAAAATCCTAGACACCCAACTCTCAACCTCAAAAAGGGGGAACCCCAAGTCTATTCTTGCTCATGAGCTCTCTCTCTCTACCCAGGACCTCGCTGTGTCACCCCAGGGGTGCCTTGTACCCTCCAGGGCATGTGAATGATACACCTTGGCATTTCAGAGTTCCCTGATGGTTGCTTCTGAGACGTGTCTCACAATCCTAAGAACCACAAGGTTTGATCCAGCCACAACACTGACTGCAAAAGGAGAATTTCTCTGGGGGCTGCTCATAACTAGTATGAGCCCTGGTGAGCAGAGCCCCAGGCAATCCTGGCAAAAGCCTCACTGTCTACAGGCCAAGACCAACAGGCAGAGAGAGTCCAAGATAGGTCTGGGACATCTTGTGCCATAAAATAAGGAAGTGTTCAAGGAATCATGATAATGTGCAGGAAGAACAGAGATGCTTGAATGGCTCTTACTAGACAAATCTGGGATACTTTGAGCATCAGAACAAATAAATGGCAATGAGCCTTAACCCAGTAAATAATGAAAGAATCCATGAATCTGTAGTGCTACATAAACAGGAGAGAAAGGAAAGCTCTTGCAAATAAATGCAAACAAACATGAAGTCATCAGTTATTTTAAGCTGTGTACATAACTGAAAATGTGCTATACTGAATAATTTTTAAGTGCAAGATATTTTTTATCTTTATATGAGGAAAAGTCTTGGGAAATTGTTTTGTGATTCAATCTGTAAACTATGTATACCAAGATATGTCTGTTCTATAAAGATGCTTAGTCCCTTGTGCAAATCAAGTACTGGTCAAAAAGACTGCTGAAATTTTATATGCTTATTGATATTTTATACTTTTTTATCCTGCATGTCCTGTAAAGTTACAAGTCTGCACAATAAAAATGTTTAACAACTCAGAAAAAAAAAAGGAACAATTAAGTCAGAAAATCATCAGTGGAAATTAAAATTAGTATGTGAAAGTTTGAAGCAGAAGATGATTTACATAATCTCAACTTATCTCTCTGCAGTTATTTATTATAAAGGGAAGAAAACAGTAACTGTACAGACGATCCCACCAAAAAACCTATTCAGATCGATTATGCATTATTTAAATGATAATAGTTACTATGCAGAGACAGTTCATTGGTAAACACCATTTTACTGATGGGCCTCGGTAAATTTCCAAGGCCAGACCATAAAAACCCATGGACAGAGATCAAACCAGTCAGTCCTAAAGGAAATCAACTCTGAATATTCATAGAAAGGTCTGATGCTGAAGTTCCAATACTTTGGCCAAGCTGATGCAAAGAGCTGACTGATTGGAAAAGACCCGGATGCTGGGAAAGATTGAAGGCAAAAGGAGAAGAGGACAGCAGAAGATGAGGTGGTTAGATAACATCACCAACTCAATGGACATGAATTTGGACAAACTCTAGGAGACAGTAAAGGACAAGGAAGCCCGGTGTGTTGGTCCATGGGGTCGCACAGTTGGATATGGCTGAATGACTGAATAACAGCAATGACAGAGATCACAGTTCTTCTATCCTGTTATTCCGAGGACAACATGGGTACAAGTGCTCAAGAACTATTTGTTGAATGTATCAATATCCATGACTCATTAAAGAAGCAATAAGATAGACTGAACTTCAGATTTTGCTAATCCGGGTACCTTGGCACCTTTAAAGAACCCTGGTCCAGCAGTCAGAAATCTGGACTCTAGTCCCAGCAGTGGTGCTGAGCACCCAGGGCCTCAACTGTCCTCTGCTCCAGTTCATTCCGGTTCAGCTTCTCCATGACCTCTAATATCTCTAGGTCTCAGTTTCCTTTCAAAACAACAGTGTATATCGAGAGATTTACCACTAAGCAGGTTTGAAACATGTTGGGCGATTTATTCCACACTTGTCCCCTACAGAAAATGCTCAGGGAATCAGCACCAGGACTTACCCAGATGATGATATCCTGCCCCCAAAGTGAAAGCATTAGTCACTCAGTTGTGTCTGACTCTTTGCAACCCCCTGGTCTGTCCACCGATTTCTCTAGGCAAGAATACAGGAGTGGGTAGCCATTCCCTTCTCTAGGGGATCTTTCTGACCCAGGTTCTCCTGCATTACAGACAGATTTTTTACCATCTGAGCTACAAGGGAAGCCCACAAAAGACCCTCTTTAAAATTCTGCTTGAAGAGGAAAAGATGTTCAACATCAAAATATCTTTGGATCCTGATTCCTTCCTTACTTTTGATAGTTGACATTTATTTATAGCATTAATGTTCAAAATGTGGTATTTATTTTTTCTTTTTTTTTCATTTATTTTTATTAGTTGGAGGCTAATTACTTTACAGTATTGTAGTGGTTTTTGCCATACATTGACATGAATCAGCCATGGATTTACATGTGTTCCCCATCCCAATCCCCCTCCTGCCTCCCTCCCCATCCCATCCCTCTGGGTCTTCCCAGTGCATCAGCCCTGAGCACTTGTCTCATGCATCCAACCTGGGCTGGTAATCTGTTTCACCCTTGATAGTATTTTTTAATTAAACTTTTTATTTTGTATAGGAGTATATCCAACAGACAATGTGATAGTTTCAGGAGGACAGCAAAGAGACTGAGCCATACATACACTTGTATCCATTCTCCCTCAAACCCTGCTCCAATCCAGGCTGCCACATAAAATTGAGCAGTTCCCTGTGCAATACAGTAGGTCCTTGTTGGTTATCCATCCTAAATACAGCAGTGTGTACATGTCCCTACCAAACTGCCTAACTATTCCTTTCCCCGATCACTCTCCCTGGCAATCATAAGTTCATTCTCTAAAGTCTGAGAGTCTGTGTCTGTCAAAATGTGATATTTAATTGAAATGTATGCAGTCTTTCACTTTTGTTTAATACAGTTTATTGCTAATTAGGATGTGATGCGTATCCATGACCATATATTTTGGTGCATCTTTCCTTTTTCCAAATTCCCAGAAGTAGAAAAATTAGTCAAGGGGTGAATTGTTTTCCATTAGGTTCAGACCAATTTGCCCTCTTAACAGCTGTTTGTGAGCTTATTTCATTGTCACCTTTGAGTACCTGATACAGTTTTTCTGGGTCTAAAGTTAAAAATAATTCAAACCACTTTAATTTGAATTTATTTGACTTACACGTGCTCACTCAGTCCTGTTTGATTCTTTGCAACCCCATGGACTGTCAGACTCCTCTGTCCATGGGATTTTCCAGGAAAGAATACAAGAGTGGGTTGCCATTTGATTCATAGAGATGGAACATTTTTTATGTCTCTTTATCATTTATTTGTCTTTCTTCAAATATCTGTTAATATATTTTCTTCTATAGAACATTTAAATTTTTTAAATAAATTGTAATCATGCATATAATACTTTTTCAGATTTTCATTTGTTCTTTAGAGGTTTTAAGTTATATATCATTAAATAAAATCAAGCTTTTCTTTTTCATTTCTCCTGCTGCTTTTGTAGTATGTCTTTTAAAAATCCTAACGTCATCTAAATCTCTATGTTTCATTTTAGCTTTTTTCTTATTTTATTTCTAACAGTAAAGGCAGCTGGCTTTTTTTTTTTTTAGTTTTTGATATAGGATAGGCCTCATTTTTTCCTAAAACAGTCCATTCTCCCATTATAGTTTACTGAATTTTTCTTATTCCTCACTATTGGAAATAAGAAGCACAGTTAATGAAGCATGTCCAGCTGGGGATTGGATTGTCCAGTCCCTTGAGACTCTGTCCTCACTGCAGCCTCTGGGGTGAGCTCTGCATTTCTCTCCACCCTCATCCCAGAGGCCAGCAGATTGGGGGTGAGGGCAGGACTTGTCCTCAGAGATGAAGGTGGGGCAGGATCTTGAACCAGATGCACTTGGCCCATCAGGAAGCTGTTAAATCCTTGCTCCCCTGATATTGGCCACGTCTCAGTGAACTTTCCCCTTGCAAAGGGAGTGTGGATGTGGAAACTGTCTGGTGTCGAGGCAGACTCTCTGGAGACACTTTTCAGAGAAGCTGATGACATGAGGTGGGATGTGAACTGGCTGAGTGCTGAGATGGTTTAGGTAAGTTGGTCCTGCTAGGCACTCAGTAACTATCGATGGTGAATGGATAAAAGTATTTAATTTCAAACTAGGATTCTTAGCACCATTTTCAGAATATCACTTGTTATTCTTCATTAACAGTCAGAAATCCACATGTTGTAGATGGAGGCTGGGTGAGCTCTCCAGGGCTCTTTCTCTGACCTTGACCTGTTCCCAATAAGTGCTTAGTTTGATGAGTTTTGGTAATTTTATACAATAACCACAGCTTCAAGCAAGAAATAGAATATCCCAAAGGTATAGTTAAATTCACTGGTGTGTCCTTAAGGCAAAACAAATTGCCTAACAAATTTAGGTTAATCTGTAGTTTACTCTTGATTTTTTTGGTCTTTATAGTTCTGCATCTGATCAGCCTGAGACTAGAGTCCTTTCAGAGGTGTCAAGTGGATAATTTGCCATTCAGAGTCTTGCATGGGTTCCCCAGTGTGTTGATTCCCTACCCTCTGTTGACCTGAAACAAATAGACTGTCAGATATTTCTTCAGCAAAGATGGGCTTATTCAGGATCAGCAGAGAATGGCAGTTTGAGGTTTTCATTTGTAGCAAGCCAAGTGTAAGTCCCCAAAGTGCCAGGGCTGGAAAGCACTTGTATAGAGGGGAAGAGAAAGTTGGGAGAGCTGTTACAGAGTCCATGGCTTTTCATTGGCTGAGTTCTTGCCAGGAAAGGAGAGGAGTCTCTTCTTCCTGTTGGGCACTGTTATTGTTGAATCCTCATCTATCAAAGTTATCAGAGGCTTTCTACTGGGGACCACATGGGATTGCTCGAGCACTCTGTGGTGGTGATGACTGCTCTTTGTTTGGATGGACTTGTCCTATTCAGAGCATCACCGATCCTCTTAGCATCCCAGGGAGGTGTTCCCTCCAGGTGTTCTCCCCACTTTCCAGAGGCCAATACTAAGAGGTTATATGGCTAGTTCAAGGTTATATAACCAGGAAGTGGCAAAGTCTAGATTCTAACACAGGAACAACACTTCCAAATGAGGCACATCAGGTGCCATTTTTGTTTCGCATTAAATTTTTTAAAACTGTGGAAAATGCACACAACATAAAATTTACCATCTCAACGATTTTTCAAGCACATGGTTCATTATTGTTAACTATCTTCACATTACTGTGTAACCAATTTCCAGAACTCTTTTCATCCTGTACTAGTGTGCTATTAAAATACTAACTCCCCACTGTCCTTGCCCCCAGCCCTTGACAAGCACAAGGACACATTGTTTCTCTTTGAATTTGACTGCTCTGAGGACTTCAGTAAATCAAATCATAAAATATTTGTCCTTTGTGATACACCATTTTACAACCCCACCATCAGTGTGCAGGGTTCTATCCACATCCTTGCCAACACTATTGTTTCTTCCTTTTTTTTCCCATGTGTGAGTTGGTGTCTTATTGTGGTGCATAACTAACACAACAGGGTTAAGCAACTATCTGCCAAAAAAAATTAACTCTAAAAATCCATGAGTTATAATTAAAAAAAAAACTATGCATGTGCACATATGCAAAGATTTCTAGGGTAAAGACTAAGAAATGGCCAAAATATCAGCAAGTAGACCTGGCTAATAAAAACAAATCCTTATTCCTTTCTTCTTGTACGTGCTCAGTCATGTCCAACTCTTTGAAACCCTATCAACTGTAGCCCACCAGGCTCTACGGGATTCTCTAGGCAACAATAATGGTGTGGGTTGCCATTTCTTACACTGGGCAATCTTTCTAACCCAAGAATCAAACCTGCATCTCTTGTGTCTCCTGAACTGGCAGGTGGATTCTTTACCTCTGTGCCACCTCTCTCTGGGAGACCCTTCTTCTTCTATAGTTTTTTTATAGAAATAGAAAAATATGTATCCTTTTCTAAAATTCACAATTTACAATAGTCAAAATGTATGCTTTCTCTTAGACTCTCAGTCCTACTTGTGCTGTGAAAACACTAAAACCCCAGTGTAGTCACTTGTATAAAGTCAGTAAGCTAGTTATTGCCATCATTTACAAGTTGAGAAAGCAAATGAAATGTGAGAAGAAAAGCAAACACTCAGTGAGAAGATGAAAATTCAGTTTTTCTCTACAAGGTGGACCTTGTCTCTGGGCAGCACTTCCTGCCTGGGCTCATTTCAATCTCCAGTGGCGGACACGAGGAAATCACAAGGGTACCTCACACTTTACAAACAAGATGGCAATTGTGGTCACCAACCAGCTTTACAAAGTCTGGACCCCTTTTTAAAAGTTAGCACTGAAGGAACAATGCCAGTGGTTGGAGCAGCGTAAAGCAGAAGCCAGCCTACACCTTCCACCAGAATCACCTAGAGCTTGTTTAACCCCACCCCCACCATTTCTAAATTTACAGAATTGGTCTAAAAGGACTGGAGGGGGGATTTGCATTTCTAACAAGCTCCCAGGTGACAAGGATGCCACAGGTCTGAGAGCCATACTCTGAGAACAGCCACCCTAAAGCTTGATTATAGAGATGCTTCACATGCATCATCTCCAACAGCAAGAACTTTAAGAACTTCTCTTGAGAAACTCCTGCCTATAAGATCAAAGGTGTGTTTGCATTTGCCTTCTCCCTGCATTTAAGAACAAATATCCAAAGAGAAGCAGCTCAGAATAACAGTTACATACTGGGCTACGCAGACTCGGGAGCCAGACTCCTGATTTGGGATCCAACTTTCACTATTAAGCTGTGTGATGCAGGCAAGTTACTCAAACTCTTAGAATTTGGGGGAGAATGGATACATGTATAGGTATGACAGAGTCCCTTTTCTGTCCACATGAAACTATCATAACATTGTAAATTGGCTATACTCCAATATAAAATAAAGTTTAAAAAAAATTACTCAAACTCTCTGCTTAAGTGACTTCACATGTAAAATAAGAGGTAATAGCTCCTTCCAATTCAGCAGGAAAATTGGAAATGGGGTCTACCCAAATCAATGAGAAGTCCTCATCTTCCCATTTCCATACATTTTGAAAATCCACAAATAGAACATCCCTGGAGAGTTCCTTGCCCTGCCTGAAGTTAAGGAGAGGTGTCTCTACTTTGGTATCATTTACAGTTGTTGCTGTCTAGTCACTCAGTCATGTCCAACTCTTTTGCAACCCCATGGACTGTAGCCTACCAGGCTCCTCTGTCCATGGGATTTCCCAGGCAAGAATACTGAAGTGGATTGCCATCTCCTCCTCCAGGGGATCTTCTGCACCCAGGGATCAAACACACATCTCCTGGTCTCCTGCTATGGCAGGCGAATTATTTACCACTGAGGCAACAGGGAAGCCCACACCCATATTTTTCCTTCTTGACCCTCTTTCCTTAAGGGTTATCAAATGGCCAAGAGATGTAGCCACACACACTGAATAAACCACTATCAAAACATGCACACAAGTTTCTGTCTCCTAGGGATCCCCAAGGCCCTCCCACATAAAAACAAAAGAAATATCAGAATTTGTGGGAAAGATGAATGGTTTAGCATCCAAGAATGAAAGATATAATAATCACTCAAGTGTGATTAAACCCAAAGGTTCCGCCCCACCTAGTTAGTGGTCTCAGTTACCACATGGAAAACTTCAGTTAAGAGCTTCATCTCTCTGAGCCCCTTTTCATCTGTGAGTTTCCTCCCAGCTCAGGGACCCTTGAGTGGTTTCAGGACCAGAGGGCTCCTGGGCAAGACCACCTACATCAAGACCCTGCACTGCTTCTGGAAAGGCTAGAGATGCAGATAAGACCCCACAGGCTTCAGGACCCCATCCCCAGGGTGACTCTCAAAGGTGGAAGCAGAGACATTCACAGTAAGAAAAGCGGCTGGTCAAATACATCCTCCAGTCCTGTCAATGTATCCCAGATAAAAGCAAAATGGTTCAAGAATCACGTCCCCATTCATTAAATAAAAAACAATAGTATTCTTACACACATGAAATGTGTCACAACTAGATACCAGAATGTACAGTGAGAGATGTGCATGGAGAGAAAGAGGGAGGGAGGGAGACATGGTCACAGACACAGGGACAAGGGAGCCCGGTGCAGTTGGAACTCAGTTGTCACCTAAGGAGTATGGGGAAAGGTGGGGACATTATGGCAACAGGAGCAGGGCACTAATTAGACAAAGGAAGCTGTTCAGGGCTGTTCGTTTAGCGGGGAAAGTGAGAATTCGTTCAGAACTATGAATCCAGAGCTGTCCTGGGGAAGCCGGCTAAGGATGGCATGCGGGGTCCGGTCCTTCTCCGGCTGGCGGTGACGCCCCTGGGCAGCCTGGGTTCTCAGCCTCCCTGCCTCCTGCTCCCGCCGCCCCTCCTGCTCCTGAGACTAAGGAGGCTGACGGGGCAGCGAGCTGCAAGGCAGGGAGACCTTGCGCCCCGCCACCAAGTCCCTCTTCCCGTTCCTGCTACCCTTTCCCGCCGCCCCACCCAAAGGGCGCAGACAGGGACCCCCGCGGCCGGCGTGGGGAGACCCCACCCGCTACAAGCAGCCATCGGAAAGCGCTCCCTCGCCCTGACCCCCGACCCTCAAACCCTGCAAGGCGCAGCGTCAGGCACTGGGGCGTCAGCACCCTGAGGCGGCGGGGTGTCTCAGCCCAGGCGGGGGCTCACCAGAACAGCCTGGAGCAGACGTTCGCGTCCTGAAGCGGGTTGGGCTTCTCCTCCAGGGACACGGGCTGCATCTTGCCGGCCTGTGGAGTGGGGGAGCCGGGAGCCACACGGAGGTGTGAGGCGAGGCCGCTGATGGAGGCGGTGGAGGGGCCGCACAGCGCGGGGCGCAGGACCCCAGGTGCCCACGGTCCCGCACTGGGCTGCAAACTCTACCAGAGGGCGCGCTCTGAGCCCGGACACCCACCCAGAAGGTGGAGAGGGAGGGGCGGGCTGCAGCAGAAACGCCCCTCAGCTGTGGTGAAGACCTGGAGAAAGCTGTCAGAAGGAGATAGCAGCCCGCCCTCCGGGCACGCTGCCCTCATCAGGACCAAGCAAGGGCGCTGTGGGAAGGTCTCCAACTGGAATGGAGCAGGACCCTGGGGGGCCTTCCTGGGATAGACCCCACCCCACTGCGAGATACACTGAGCTAGTGGCCAGTACTGGTCAGTGGAGGTGAGAACTGATGACCAGCACAAAGCTGCCAGGCTACTGAGATGACAGCCCCAGGCTCCCCAGTGTCTGTCCTACTGCTAGGCTGGCCCTGAGGAATCCCGTTTTGATAAGAGGAGGAAAAAGGAAAGACCACAGCTCACTCTTCTCCTGGCATCAAGGACAGTTACTCAGCAGTGACCTGAGCACAGAGAGAAGTACATAAGCTAGAAGTCAACATTTACTTTGTTCATCCCTCCAATAAATAAATTTTAAATGAGCTAATAAGCGGGTATCAGTACAAGAGGGAAATGAATAGCTTCAGACATTTTTCCCATACACGAAGCCCATATGAATATATAGGAAGAAAATAAATGCATTCAAAGAAATATTTCTGGAATGAATAAACAAAGTGTGGTATAAGCATACAATGAAATATTACTCAGCCTTAAAAAGGAAGGAAATTCTGACAAGTGCTGCAGCGTGGATGAACCTTGAAGACTATGATGTTGTGACTTAGAATATGTCTTTGGTCTTCGTGATGTTGCTGGTACAGAACTCCTAAAACCCTTAGGTGCTCTTAGAGTGAAAAAGTATCTTTTGATAATTATAACAGGCCCCTTTCAACTACACCTGAGTTTTAGTGAATTCATCTGTTTGTCAGAAAAACCAAACACCTGATTAAAGGGTTGGCATTTTCAGCCACACCCTCCCATGTCTAGGAAGAAGTGGGACTGGAAACAGTTGAACTACCAATGGCCAATGCACTAACCAGTTTTGCCTAAAGTATACTTCTATGAAGCCTCAATAAAAAACCAATAGGATGGGGTTCACAGAGCTTCCCGGCTAGTGAACCTGTGCAGATGCTAGGAAGGTGACTCACCTGGAGAGGCCTGGAAGCCCCTGCCCCTCCACCTTAAAGGTAAGGTGGTGCCCTTAATATTCAGGGAGGCTGGGCTGTGATGGAACAATCACTGACAAAGCCCATCAACAATTCCCTGGGAGTAAAAGTAGAATCTGAATAATGAAATAAAGTGTCACCTTTTTTCTCTCCCTTTGTGCTGAGTCTTGTTTCACTTGCTCACAGGGCACCTCGTGCAGAAGCCTCACACCTGGCCCTTCAGATGAGACTCCCTGGTGTGAAAGGCTGCACTGACACCTCAGCTCTGAGGGCCATGTGCAGTCTCTGCGCCCGGCACTGTGATCCAAGATGGCGGTCCCAGGGCCGAGTGAAGAGACGCTGAACCCAGTTCTATGATTCAAGATGGTGGCAAGGGGGCTGTGTGCAGAGATGCTGACCCAGCACTATGACCTGCAGCCATGAGCAGCACAGCTGAGCCTGTCCTTTGAGAACCCCCATCTCCCAGCTGACAGGAATTACACACAGCAGTCCCAGGGGTGCTTTTAGGGGAAGCATGTCCTGTAGAGCGTCTATTGGGACGAGCTACACCTGACAGAGGGGCTTCCCAGGTGGCTCAGCAGTAAAGAACCTTCCTGCCAGTGCAGGAGACTCACACTGATCCCTGGGTCAGGAAGATCCCTTGGAGCTGAAAATGGCAACGTGCTCCAGTATTCTTGCCTGGGAAATCCCACTGACAGAGGAGCCTGGAGGACTGCAGTCCATGGGGTTGCAAAGAGTCAGACATGACTGAGTGACTAAGCACACACACAAACCTGGTTAAAGGACTCCCCAACCCCCGTTTGGGTCTAACTGGGGAGGGTCAGTAACAAAGTAGGAAGAAATCAAACCATCTTTGTTTTTCCTGGTGACTCAGACGGTAAAGAATCTGCCTGCAATGGAGGAGACCCGGGTTTGATCCCTAGATTGTGAAGATCCCTTGGAGAAGGGAATACGCAATCCACTCCAGTATTCTTACGTGGAGAATTCCAGGGAATTCTGATGGCCTATAGTGCATGGAGTTGCAAAGAGTCAGACAAGACTGAGTGACAAACATTTTCTAGCAATGAAAGCAGCTGCCATTTGGGAAGAAATGAGATCTTTTCCTTCCAACAGTGGTCCTCTCTTGGCTGCAGGGTGGAATTACCTGTCGGGTTTTAAAAAGCGTTGCCTCCTGCCTTCCCTCTCCCGAGATTCTGATTTAACTGAGATGATGCTTCAGCACTGGGATTTACAGAGCTCACCTGGTGATTTTACAAACCACAAGCCTTTGCCATGTTAAGCTTTAAAGACTATCTGGACGAGGAACAGAGTAAACAAATCAGGTGATTCTGTAGGAGCAGGAGTGTGCGCTTCTGTGTCTAGGGTGTAGATGAGGTGAGTGAGGTGGAGGCCTGTGATACCTCTTGCCCGCTAAGAGGTCTTCCTGGCCCCTCATTCCATGGCCTTTCCACGCTGCTCACCTGGATACGTGGATTCGTCTGCCCCCTGGTGGTGATGTTCAGTATAGCACAGTTGTACTTGGAGGTTTCATACCAGCCCAGCCTAGTTGGGCTTCCCTGGTGGCTCTGGTGGTAAAGAATCTCCCTGCCAATACAGAAGCTGCAAGGTTCAATGCCTGGTTCGGGAAGATCTCCTAGAGAAGGAAATGGCAACCCATTCCAGTATTCTTGCCTGGGGAATCCCATATGGACAAAGGAGCCTAGCAGGTACAGTCCATGGATTCACGAGAGTCGGACATGACTTAGCAACTAAACCGCCACAGCCTTAGTTCATCACAAACCTGAGCCTGAGTCCCAAGGTGTGGCTTGCTGGGAGGGAAATCCTGGGAACCGTACAGGATGAGCAGCTGGGCAGTAACTTCAGGAGTCGCTCCCGCGCAGGGAAGCTCAGGGAGCTCGGGGCCACGCGCCAAGTACAAGTCTATAATAGGGGTCTGAGGGCTGTGTGTATTCAGTCAAGAGGACTCTTTGGGACTTCCTGTCGGGCTGGGACATGGGCCCTGGGAGGGAGGCGGACCCTGGAGCTGGAGCAGGGGCACCCGAGCCCAGGCGCTCAGAGCACGGCCTGGAGGGGGCGGGACTCCAGGTGGCCACACCCCCTGGCCCTCCCTGCCTGCCTCTGGGGAGGGTGCAACCACAGGAGGACGGAGCAGGGCCTCTAAACCAGCGCTTCTCTGACTGTACTGTGAGCAGGACTCCCCTAGGTTCCGGAGATTCTGAGTCACTAGGTCTGAGGTAGAGACAAGATTCCGTGTTCTAACAGCCTCCCAGGGCAGGCCGAGGATGCTGGTCCACAGGCCGCTTAGAACGGCAGAGCCCCAAGGCAGGGTGGGCAGAGTTTTCCTGTAAGGGACCAGGAAGTGTATTTCCAGGCTTTGGGGGCCTTATGGTCTCTGCTCAGGAAAACATCTACTTCTGCTTCATTGACTACGCTAAAGCCTTTCTGTGGATCATAACAAACTGGAAAACTTAGAGAGATGGGAATCCGAGACCACCTTAACTGTCTCCTGAGAAACCTGTACGCCGGTCAAGAAGCAACAGTTAGAACCAGACATGTAACAACTGCCTGAGTCAAAATTGGGAAAGGAGTATGACAAGGCTGTATATTCTCACCCTGATTTAATTTATATGAAAAAGAATGTATGTATCTGTGTAAGTGAATCATTGCTCTACAGCAGAAATTAACACATTGTAAGTCAACTATACTTAAATGAATTTTTAAAGAAACATGAAAAAAAAGCTAAGGGTGTCATTAGGTTCATTATTAGTAATGTTTATTCTGGCTACTTGCTTAGCCTGGTGTTTGCCAGATTTTTCCACTTTAAAAATATAATTCTTCCCTAAAGAATTAATCTGAGAAGATATTTTGAGTCCATGAAAATGCGTGTTTCCCCAGCCCCCAAACATTCACTTTATATTCAGCCAATGATGAAATTTGTCTGAATTATTCATGACAATGATGGCTGCCATATGGTACTTTTCTGTCAATCTGTTCAGATTTGTGAGTTGGCATTCTACTGCAGAAAAGAGCTTTCCTTTCCTCCTATCTATTTTCTGTCTTACCCGAATCAATATAAACTTGGATTTTTAAAAATTTTTTTGTTGTGAAGTGTAGGGTTTAAAAACCCTCAATCCTCTGTTTATCATTACTCATAACATTTCTAATGTGATATAAACTACATTTAAGAGACTCATTCTTTGTCTAGGTCATCTGCAAGATGTAATTTTAAAAATGTGTGTCACATAATGTTCTCCAGAATTAAATGTGATTAGATTTTGTATCAAACACTGTTTTGAAATACCCCAAGCTTCCACCTATTGGGATGGATACTTGTGAGCATCATTGCTGAGAGAAAGAGTGAATTTAGTCAGAACCATCCAATGTAAACTTTGTGTAAAACATTCTTAGTGTGTCTTAACCTTGGTTCTTCTTAAAACACACACACACACACACACACACACACACACAATCCCAGTTTGACTCCTAAGGCAAGTTAAATGGGCCTGAAGTACAGATGGAAGTTTCATAGTGCTGGGCATGTTATTCCTTCTTGTAAAGTTATTTTTTAGGTCTATATTCAAATAAATATATGTTTATCCTAGTTTTCAACACACATTGCTGTTTTAGTTTTTGGAAAAAAACAATTTCCTTAGAAATCACCAAGAGAAAAGAGCAAAATGGGTGTGAATGAAGGAGGCTCCT